GGTGTGTGTGCGATTCAATATATAGTGTGCAGCAGCCATTCAGTGTACAGTTATGTCCAATACAGTTTCTACAATGTCTACAGCAATGCAGCAATTTGTATTGTATTGTAAAGATGTGGGTTTAAGCCCCATTTTGGGGACTTTGGGGTCACAGTCTAGGTTACTCTACGTGTTTTCGAAGGTTCTATCCTTTGGATAAAACATTGAACCAAGGTCCCTTCTGTGCCTGTTCAGGTGGATGTTGAAGATCCCGCAGGGCTATTAGAAAACAGATCTTTAACATCCATCTGAACAGGTACAGACTGGACTTCGATTTAAGGTCTCATCCGAGGAATGACGTCTCTGCAATGTGGCTCTCTCCCAGCATTGCACAAGAATGTCAGCCTGGACTGTGAGCTTTGATATGGAGGTTCAATCTACAATGACCTCTGACTGCAAAGTATTACGTGGCTTCAAACCACTGAAAAAAAAACATTTTGTGTAAATTAGAGCATGATTGGGGACGGGGAAAGAGAAGGGAAAGGGATTTGGATAAGCGAACGCTCGCGTTGTTACAGCACGTACGTTGCCTTGAATGGTGCAAAAAGTACCAAATTGCAGTGAAGGTTTGGGTAGTGATAGCTTCACCGTGCTTTAGATTTAGTGAGGAACTATCCTTTACAGCAGTCCTGCTCCAGGCAGTAAAACGGTTCGTGACGCTGTGCTCAGGACCAGCCGTCCTCCAGCAGCAGTGAGCCCCACTCCGCACAGCAGAGGAGGCACTAGACCCTGACTTCTTCGGTACCTACGTACTCCACTGCGAGGCTGCTCTGCTCACTGAGCGTGGGTGTGAGTAATTTACTCTAACTGCCTCTAATGGGGGCACGGTGAGCGTTGGCTAGCGGAGTATTAATTGATGTGGGTGTTTAAGATAATGGATTAATCAGCGAAAGAGGCCTCGCACTCACGTATAGAAGCTTTGCGAGAGCGAGAGCGTGGCGTTAACCAGTTCCTGTTAATAAGCAGGCCACGAGTAAACCTGCGGCCAATCCACACAGAGAAACTAGTCGAGCTTTTAATAGTCACTATAGCAACAGTGTGTGTATGTTGCGGTGTGTGTCTGTTTGTGTGTGATTGTGAATGCACGTGTAACTGTTCAGTGTTCCAGCGCCTTGGGAGGTCCTCTCGACGTGAAAGGCACTATAAAATGTAATTTGTTGTTATTGTTGTGTGTGGGTATGAGTGTGTGTGTGTGTGAAGGCATGTGTGTGTGTGTGTGTGTGTGTGTGAAGGCATGTGTGTGTGTGAGTGTTCTCCTGCTTGTTCACTCTGATTGTCAGCAGTGTGTTTACTGTGAGAGCACTTGTTGATCTGTCTCTTCCCTCCCACCTCCTCGCGCCACCAGAGGTAGGCGATCTATTTCAGCCTGGTAATTTCTGGTAATTTATTCCTTGGGGGTAATGTGGCGATAGCTAATGTCATTGTGAAAGGTCAGGCCACACAGTCATGCCAGTAACACTCTCAGCATCGCTCCCTGTTTGAATCACCAGCAGATTGTGCTGCGTGAGAGGCAGCCAGAACAGCACAGAACATCAAGCGCTGTGATGATTGTGTGAGCAGACCACCCCTCTGCACAGGGAGTTAATCTCAGTAACAGCTTGCATTCCCCTACACCTGCTTTGGCTTATTTGCTCACTTCTCTCTGCTTTTCCCTTCATGTCTCTTGGACTGAGAGTTCCATGTGTGTACGCTACCTATATACATAGAAATCTCGCCTGGAATGGTCTGGAATGAAATGCGCTCTCTCTCTCTTCCTGGAGGGATCCATCCTGTTTATCCAATCATATTGTCATTCCAGAGAGTATTAGGGGCAGGTTGTGGGTTGGGGTGGGGATCCTCAAGATGTGTGTTGGGGTAACTGCTGGAGTTTAACCAACTAAAGTTGCATAGCTTGCCATTGAGAGCACTGTGGTAAGCTTTTTTACTAGGACTACCCTATCTGTTAAGGCTTTGTTAAAGGGTTAAAGGTAGCTGAATGGGAAGAGTCCCTGTCCCCAGTGACTGTTCTGCCCGTCCCAGTTCTCCCAATGAGCTAGTCTAGCTGGGGCAGTTATCAGCAGTCCCCTGGAGTACTGCGGACTGGCCTGGCTCAGGAACTGAACTAGAGACCATCACTCGAGGGTTGACTCAATTCTAACATTCTGTTGCTAACACGTTACCTTGGAAATAGCTCAGCTCCAAAGAGACCCTACTCCGCATCCCAATCCCCAGAAAGACATTATTCGGGTGGTGTGTTCAAGCTGAGACCCTCTACAATCTATGCCTGATCTTCTGGTGAGCAATACAAATTCCTGCACCAGTATTGGAAAGGGGAAGGGAGTTCCTCCCATTGTCTCAACCAACATTCCACCCCCTTCCCTTCAATGAAATCAGTCCTTTGCCTTATGGCTATTTTTGGCACCTTGCCACCCTGCTTTGAGGTCATTCAATATGCAAAACACATAGTGACTGCACTTTACAGTATGTCCGTGAATCTCCTTTTGTGACATTGGATCTTGAAAAATTCCTCTGCCTTCTCGTCTCCCATCACGATTTCTCCGAAAAACTCCTCTCCACTTAGACTGTGAGCTCAAAGACCCCGATGTTGGCTTGAAACCCACAACCTCCTGACTCAGTGGCGAGAGTACGAGTGACTGAGCCAGGCTGACAGAGAATTTAGCAAGTGACATGGTGTATTAAAGTGTGAAGCGCATGTAAGATATAGAGTTGAGCCGATCAGGGTGTCATTATTGTGAGTTGTGATCAGCCCCCACGTTTGTCTTACCAAACCTTCTGGACTGAATGCAATTTTAACATTTATTTCTCCCTTCAGTATTCCTTTGATGTGTTGTGTCATTCACTGTAAAGTGTAGTGGTTTGTGTGATTATGTATTTTGTAGGCAAACACAGCAGTCAATTTGTACACAGCAATATCCCACAAACAGACTTGGAGTGAGTGAGTAATTTAATCTGGGGGATTGTCGGCCAGGACACCGTGAAAGAGAAACTCCCTTCTCTTTTCCAACAGTGCTGTGGGATCTTTAACATCCAACTGAACAGGCACAAACAAGAGCTTGACTTGCATGCCACCTGAAAGACGGCACCTGTGACAATCCAGTGCTCCCCCAGCATTATTGGAGCTTCAATATAGACGATGCGCTCAAAGTCTAGAGCCGGATTTTTGCTTTCGCTGTGTGTAATCAGTGGAGATAAGAGACTTGGCAAATCATCACTTCCTTTATCCTGTGGTGAAAAGAATTCAATGTTCAGAGACTGATTCTTCCTGTGTTCAGATTTGCAGGAAACAACCAGGAGCTTTGAGAAGCCCTTCCGTTCCCTTTGTTTCTCACATTCTGTGGTTTGTAAGCAAATTAGTGCAGTAGCATCAATAAGCATTACGATAGTTGCAGTCTTGATTGACGCCCATTGGCGATGCTGGGGATAGAGGGAGAGAGCGCCTCATTATCGGAGATGCTGTTCTCTTTGGATAGGACGTTAAAACTAGTGTCCAACACTGTTAAAAAAGAGAAGGGAGTTCCTCTCAGTGTCACGGCTGTCAATCACCTATTCCTGACGTCTGTTTGTGGGAGCTTGCTCGATTCTCAAAATGGCAGTCGGGTCAGCATTGGAAGAAAGGCGGATGAGTTGAGAGTAATCCATGTGATGTGGTTAGAGATGTGTCAACATGGGGAGGTGCTAGAGAGATGCAGGTTCTTTCTTTTGGGCCCAGGTCAGGGTTCAAGTGAATCCTGTGAAGCACTTTGAGACATCCTCTTGATGTGAAAGGCATTGTATCAAATGTAAAGGTCTTTATTTTTATTATCACAATATGGAGCGATTTGCTGGGAGTGAGGGCTGGAGGGGAAAATAAGGGGAAGGGGAACCCAACCAACTGTCACCCCCTCCCTCCCACCCAGGTGTCGCTCATCGTCAGCTCAGCAGGAGTCGGACTCTCACTTCTTGAGTCAGAAGGTTGTGGGTTTAAGCCTCACATTTGAGCTTACAGTCCAGGCTGAGGCTCCAGTGCAGTTTGGAGTTTGCGTTCTTTGTTAAACTGAGGCGTTGAACCAAGGTCCTGACTGCCCGTTCATTTGGACGCTAAAGATCCTGTGGCACAGTTGGAAAAGAGAAGGGAATTTCTCTCTCTCCCCCAGTGACCTGGCCGACAAGTAAAATTTGTGATTTAATTCATGGCTGTTCGTAGGACGTTGCTCTGCGCAAATTGGCTGCTGTATTCGTCTACGAAATACACAGTCACTACAGTTTTGAGGTGAATCCTCAAGGAGACACTACGCCAACTGTCTGCTCACTGGACTTTCCAACTCTTCCCTCCACAAGCTGCAGGTTATTTAGAATTCTGCAGCCTGTGTCCTCTCCCACTCCAGGCTCCGCGAACTAATCACCCCCATTCTTGCCCAGCTTCACTGGCTCCCCATCCCTCAGAGAATCAAGTACAAAATCTTCAAAGCCTCCACGGTCTTGCTCCCCCTACCTCTCTGACCTTCTAACCCCATATCAGCCTGTCCGCTCCCTCCGTTAGGCAGACACCAGCTTCAGGTCCACCGCACTTCCAGCCCCACCATTGGCCGTCGGACATTCAGCATCTCTGCCCCCAGATTCTGGAACTCTATCCCGCAATCCGTCCACTTCAGCCCCTCTCTTTCCTCCTTGAAGTCCCATCTAAGGACTTTCCTCTTTGACCGTGCTTTCAGCCACCCTCCCACCCCCAAAACCCCTACCCTCCACTCCTCCTGACCCCAACTCCCAGTTCGGGTTCAAAAACCCTTGACTTTCCAGCGCCCTGGGACGTCTTTCCGATGTGAAGGGCGCTATACAAGTGTAATTTGCTGTTATTGTTGAATCCTGTGAAGCGCTTTGAGACGTCCTCCTGACATGAAAGGCAATATAATTGTAACAATACAATTTATTTCTATTGTGCAAGTTTTTGTGTTATTTTATAATTTTCTCTCTCTCTTTCTCAGCTTAACAAGCAGCAGCTACAGACCATAAAAGACCGTTTCCAGGCCTTCATGAATGGGGAGACACAGATTGTTGCTGACGAGGCGTTTTGCAATGCAATTCATAGTTACTATGAGGTATGTGCAAACCTGTACTTCACTGAGGCTGTTGTCCTCCTCCCCACCACCCATTCCAGATACAGGGAAGTGCCTGTGTGTACATGACATACATGTGTGAAACTCTCAGTCTGGTTTGGATACTCTTAAGCACGGTGATGGGTTTCCGCATATGTCAGACACCTGGCTGATCACGTGTTAAGCGCTCTGAGACACTACCCTACATGGAGGGCACTATATAAGTACAAGTTGTTGTTGTTGATGGGTTTCTGTGTATAATCACGGTGACAAGTTTCTATGTCTGTCAGACACTAGGGTGATCACGGTGATGAGTTTCGGTATGTGTCAGACACCAACTGATCATGGTGATGGTTTCCATGTGGGTCAGACACCTGGCTGAGCAAAAAAAAGTTGATGTTGACTGGTCTTCCCTGGTATTGCATGGTCCTTTAGTTGGATGTAGACACAAAATCCGTACTGGTAGCACAGGACCTTTGCCTCAGCTCCTCGTGGATCTCCCACACACAGGAGCTGCCAGGCACATGATAAGTCTCTCTGACAAAGGGAGCAATCCCCAGATCCTCCCACTGGGAACAAAATCTCTGCATAAGTAAGACGCCCACTGCAAATAATTGAAAATTGCAGATCAGAAAAAGTCTAGCACTGCCAACGATCTTCCTGCCTGGGAACAAAGTCTCTCTGGGACAGTTGTTATGTAGATAAAATAATAACAATCTTTACATTTGGTACAGCACCTTTCACATTGGGAAGATGTCTCAAAACACTTCACAGGATTTACTGTGAAGTGTAGTGACAGTGTTTTTTGGGCGAGCGCTGCAGCCAATTTGTGCATAGCAATGTCCCACAAACACCCATGAAGTGAATCATCAATTTTATCTGTGGGATTGCTGGCCAGGACCCCGAAGAGAGAAACTCCCTTCTGTTTTCAAATAGTGTTGTGGGATCTTTAATGTCCCCAGAACAGGTCCTCGGTTTATCGTCTCAACTGAAAGAAAGCGCCTCCGTCAATGCAGCGCTCCCCCAGAACAGCACTGGAACGTCAGCCTAGACTGAAATCCACAACCTTCTGACCCAGAGGCAATAGTGCGACTGACTGAGCCATGCTGACACCCAGTGAAAGATTTCGAAAATGTTAACTGGGATTGAAACCTGGATCAATACTTTCGGGGGCCATGAGATCTAGAAGAGTATGACACAGGTTTAGAGTTGTAAAGAGCAATTTGATAGACAATAAGAATTTTTTCTTCACACAGAGTGTAATTAATGACTGGAACAGGTTGTCAAAGAATTGGGACTCTTAAAAAGCAGCACAATGCTGTGATGGGGGACAGTAGGCAGTCAGTGTTCTGGAGGGATGAGATTAGATGGGCCAAAGGGCCTTCTTCACGATCTTGTTTGCACATGCAGCAGACAATTTGCTCACAGTAATGTTTGAAATCTAAGCCAAAGGGTTATATTAATCTGAACTGATTTTGTGATCTTGTGACGCATCCTGTTTGTTTGGGAATATCCAGTCAGGCTCCCAATCGAGCCTAACACACATTCAGACCTGGTGTCTCAGGAGCTGCTTGAAGTAATGGGAGATGGAAAGCAGAAACCACTGGGGCAGAGACAGAGTGACAGGGAACTGGGAAAAGCAATCATTTTCCACAGCCCGAGCACATCAGCTGGACCCATCCACTCCCCCTGTTGCCAGCTTTGAAGCATTATAATGTTCTCCACTTTATTTAACATAGCAACAATAACAATAACAAATTGCATTTATATAGCACCTTTCATGGCAGGATGATGCCCCAAGACACTGGGCAGTGAAGGGTTTGCACCAGACCTGGGGGCTGGAATCAAAAAGGGTGGAGGGCAAGGGGAGTAGAGGTGGGAGGATGACTGAAGGCACCGAAGGTCAAAGAGGAGTTCTTGAGACTGGCCTTGAAGGAGGCAAGGGAGGGAGCAAGGCGGAGAAAGGCTGAAGGCTCGATTGCCAATGGTGACTTGCAGGAACTTGAACTCGATCCCCTGGGGAATGGGGAACCATGAAGCTGGGTGAGGATGGAGGGTAATCGACTCACAGAGCTTAGATTGGGAGAGGACATGAGCTGCAGAGTTCTGAATGATCTGCAGCTTGTTGAGGAAAGAGTTGGGAAGTCCAGCAAGCAGGAGTTAATGGATCCTGGATGTGATGAATGTATGGATGAGGGTCTTGGCTGCCTGAGGGGAGAGGAGACAGTGTTTAAATGAGCAAATCCCTAGGCCCACTGGAAGTCATTAACATCCAGCCCATCTCTAGAGGATTTCTTAATTCAAGATTCGTTTTATTTGTTCCTTGTTCTTGCAGAAACTTTATTTTTAGTGGGTACAGCCTCATTTGTCCTCTCCCAATCCTTCTCCTCTTTCTCAGAGTTCCATACATGTCAGCGACACTTGGAAATTCTCTGTGTCTGGAACAGAATGCGCAATCTCTCCGTGGAGGGACGCACTCTGCTTACCTAATTCCAGAAAGTATAAGGTGCAGGTTGGTAACAGCCAAAGTTTGGGAACTACAGTAGTCTAACCAGCTAAAACCACATAGCTTTCGATTGAGAGCTCTGTCTGGCAAGCATCTCGCTGCTTGGCCAACTAGGACCACCCTACCCATTAGGGCTTTGGCTTATAGTGGCTCAGAAGCACTCTGAGACGCCGTCCAGCGTGGAGGGCGCTATACAAATCAAAGTTGTTGTTGTTGCAGGATTAACGTACATTTTTTTGCGTACAAAAAAAATCTCAATCAGCTCACTGTCTAGTGAATGCTGTGAAGCGCTTTGAGGTGTGAAACGCTGCGTATTACACGCGAGGATCTTTGTGATTATTTAATCCTGACTTACGTTGCTGTGGTTTTGTGCCCCAGGTCTTCCTGAAGAGTGAGCGGGTGGCCCGGATGGTGTGCAGCGGGGGCTGCTCAGTCAGCGACTTCCGTGACGTGTTTAAGAAGAACATTGAGAAGCGTGTGCGGAGCCTCCCGGAGATCGATGGGCTCAGCAAGGAGACGGTGCTCAGCTCCTGGATGGCCAAGTTCGACGCCATCTCCCGAGGGGAGGAGGACCTGCGGAACCGGAGCAGTCGCGTCTCCATGAGCGCTGTGTCCGAGCTGATCCTCAGCAAAGAGCAGCTTTACGAAATGTTCCAGCAGGTCCTCGGCATCAAGAAGATTGAGCATCAGCTGCTCTACAATGCTTGTCAGGTAAGGGACAGTCAGCAACCTGCTGTACAGCCTGTCAGGTTTGGGACAGTCAGCAACCTGCTCTACAACCCCGGTCAGGTAAAGAGCTGTGTGTAGCTAGCTGGCGAGTTTTGCCCAAAAAATAACAGCCAAAAAACACTTTAATAATAATAATAATATAATAGTATATCCTGTAAAGCATATTGAGGTATTGCGATGATATTATAAGGAAAGCTATATCAAATAAAAGGATTATTAATTATTTAGGTATATACTCATATGCTTAACTCACCACCCTGGATACCTCGCCACTGAGTCTTTTCTCTCGGAGCGACAGGTTATCGGGAGATGCTGTATACCACTTACCTGATAACACTTAATTGTCACACATTTTGTCTTTATTGTGGTAAACATGCACTTTATTATACTGATTTAGGCAAATGAATGCATCGTAATATGTTCATTTCAAACACAGAATTTGTATTAGGCATTGCTGGAGCAGCTTATTCTGTTATTGTGTGCTCTGCTCATTCGTGTTCCGGGGGCCAATTTGCGCACTGCAATATCTCATAAACAGTCATGAAGTGAGTGACCAATCTTATCTGGGAGATTTATGGCCAGGAGACCAGGAGAGAGAAACTTCCTTCTCTTTTCCAATTGTGCCGACGGATCTTTAACATCCACCTGAAGACCCTCGCTTTAATGTTTCATCTGAAGGACGGCACCTCCTACAATGCAGTGCTCCCCCCAGTACTGCACTGGAGAGTCAGCTTGGACTCTATGAGTTTCAAGTCCCGACTTGGGGATTGAACCCATAACTTCTGATTTAGGGGTGAGAATGCTACCAAGTGAAACAGGCTGACAGCATGGATTTATTTATTTGAGGGTGAGGACCCTTAAATCGTTCTTTAATTCAGTACTTTTGTACAGCACTCTTGTCGAACCGCACCTAGAGTAATGCATACAGTTCTGGTCACTGTGACATGATGGGCCCTCAGGCGGTGCAGAGGAGAGCAACGAGGATGATCTTCTTTGAGATGTCTCAAAGCGGTTCACGGAATATACTTTAAAGTGAATTGACTGTATATTTTGTGGGACTGTATATTTTCTCTTCAGGGAAGATGACTTAGAGGGGACCTTATAGAGATCTGTAACATTTTAAATGGAATTGAAACAATGTTCTATCATATTGTTGGAAATGTCTCAAACCACTTTACAGGATTTACTGTAAAGTGCAATGACTATGTATTTTGTAGGTGAACATAGCAGTCAATTTCCACACAGCAACGACCTACAAACAGCCACAAATTGAATGATCTGTATTATTTGGAGGCTTGTCAAAAAGGAGGTATTGAGCAAGTGTTCTTATGAACACTGTGTGGTATTAAGATCACACCTAAGATTGGTTTGGATTGATCATAAGATTGGTTTGGATGAAGAAGACCCTTCACCCCATCTGATCACATCCCCCCATCACAGCATCAAACTGCTTTTTAATGAGTCCCAGTGTCTTGGCCTTAACCACTCTTCCTGGCAACTCTGCTCCAGTCGTCAATTACCCTCTATACCTATGTTCTTAGAATGAGAGCGTTTTGATATGGATAAGAGTAAAGGAAGATATTTTTTGGTCAGCCAGGTACCTGAAGACAAGGAAACCCATCACCGTGCTTCAGAGTAGCCATACCAGACTGAGAGTTCTGTGCATCCCACCTATACATGGAGATTTTCCTGTATACAGGAATGCAATGCGCACTCTCTCCCTCAAGGAAATATCATCTGTCAATCAAAGCCAGTCTGTGTGTGATGGTCTCACCGTCATCATCGGCAGCAGCAGAAGTGGTTTTAAAGGAAAATTGACACTTTTAAGGCGTGAAGCCATTATTCATTTATTGACCGGAGGAAAACAAACATTGAAGGCAAATTCTAAGCTCATTATCTGAAGGAAAAGTGATTAGCTTCCTGTGTGTCTATGTTTGAATGAGGATTTGTTGCAAAACATTGGACAATCCTTCTAATTATATTCAAGCTGCTTTAGTTGATTCCTGTAGATTCTTTAAGCAAATCCATGTTTTGGATCATTAATGCAGAGGAATAATGACATCTGCAAGTTCTTCCTCAGCCAGAGGCCTCATATCACACAGCTCCTGCTACACATCAGACGTTCTGGGTCACACACGGAAACCCATCACTATGATCAACTAGGTGTCTGACTCACATGGAAACTCATCACCCTGATCAGCCGAGTGTTTGACATACACAGAAATATATCACCATGATCAGCTGGGTGTCTGACATACAAAGAATTCCATCTCCATATTTAAGAGTCTCCAAACCAGACTGAGAGTCCCACATGTGTATGCAATCTACATATGGATTTTTTTTCTGTATCTGGAATAGAATATGCACCCTCTCTCTCCCCAGGGGAATGCACACTGCTTACCTAATTATATAATAATATTCCTTTCATTTGATACAGCAAAATCGCAAAATCGAGATATCTCAAAGTGTTTCACAGAACTTTATTGGACTGTGTATTTTGAAGGTGAATGTGGCAGGCACTTTGCACACAGCAATGTCCCATGAACAGCCATGAAGTGAATTTAACCAGGATAAACTCCCTCCTCTTTTCCAAAATTGCCACAGGGTCTTTGATGTCCACCTTAACAGGTGGATAGGACCTTGGTTTAATGTTTCATTGAAAGAACGGCACCTCTGACCCTTCTAACAGTACTGCAATGGAGTAAAGATCCTGATGTGGAGGCTTTAAACCACAATGTTCTGACATGGAAGGGAGAGTGCGACTGACTGAACCAGTCAAGGCTAATCACTAGTTCCAAATAGTATTGGGCACGTGTTGGCGAAAGTCAATGCTCGGGGACCCCAGTGTGTGTGTCGGGGTAACTAGTGGATTTCAAACCTCGCAGCTTGCCATTGACAGCACTGTCATTCAGTGAGTCAGGTATAGACTGTGACGATGGGATCTGTGCACATCTCAATGAGCTGGCCCTGAAGTGAAGGAACATTTATTTCTTCTCTCCCCCCATCTCTCCAGAAAATACAAAACATTGTGACAAGAACAGTGCATGTTACATAGAAACAGACATTTTTGGCACAGAAGGAGGCCATTTGCCTCAATGTGTGTGTGATACTGAGACTTGTTTTCCTAAATTGTCCTTTTTTAAATTAATCTCCCTTTCCAGCTACTTCCGTATATTTACTTAATAAGCTTAAACCACTTGACTCCTACTTATACAAGCCAAACCTCTACCAGGTAGGGTGGTCTGAGCCGGACAAGCAGCGAGAAGCTTGCAGAGACAGCGCTCTGCCGTATCAAATGCAAGGATCGTTATAATGATGAGCTATGTGATATAAGCTGGTTAAACCCCAGTGGTTACCCCCACCAAGGAGTGGGTGTATGGGAGGGGGAGAAAGAATAGGATTAAATGGCTAGCTCAGTCTAGAGAGGCAGAAATGTGCTGTACGTTTCTCCATTGCTGTAAAACAAAGTTCTATTCCGCCTTCTTTCTTCATCACCACTCACCACAATAACAAAACATTGTGCAAGGTCCAATGCCTTCCCTCTTTACACTGAAGGTTTGCCATCCGTGTGCCAGATGGTTGCTGCTGAGTGCGAATCCTCAGTGATACTCTCAGAAGCCTCTTGAAGTGAGCTAACCCACTGTGGCTTTCAGGCTGTCTGAGCAATGTGTGAAGAGGCAGGAGGGGGAGTGGAACACAGGGACATTTGTTTGGCAGGTTGAGTGGAACAATAAACCGCCATCCTCCCTCCCTGGCGCTGCTCCCTGGTGCCCCTCTGATTGGGGAAGATTCTTCGGGATCAGGCACCTGGATCAGCCGATCCCACCAGGGAACTGTGTCGCAGGCCTTCTCCGGCTTTCCGATTCTGATCCAAGAGATTGTCAATCGAGAATTCATAGCTTGCATTTGTACCGTCTGCTCCACATCCCTCGCCCTGCTCACTACACCATTGTCAGCCTTCAGCCTTCTTGCCCCCAACTTTTGGAACCACATCCCGGAAGCCCTATGCCTTGCCGCCTTCCTTGCCTCCTTCAATGTACAAGACCTTCATCTTTGATCATGCCTTCGGTCATCTTCTGCCCCTTCCCCGCACTCACACCGCCTCCCCACCCACCCCCCAGCCCACATTCCTTTCGAATTGAGTGCAAAACTGCGACTGACCATTATCTTAGGTACTCCTGACATGAAAGGCGCTATAGAAGTGCAATTTGTTGTTGTAGCGACCTTCATGCAGGTTAGCGTCTCGGAATGTGAACACATCACGGCAAATGTGATCGCGGTCTTTTAAAATGATGAGGCGATTTGATAATAATAATTAAAATAATAATAATCCTTGCATTTGCTATAGCGCCTTATCACGTCGTTGAGACATCTCAAAACACTTCACAGGATATATGATAAAGTGGATTGGCTGTATGTTTTGTGGGCGAAATGTGGGAGCCACTTAATAATAACAATAAATATAATTCTTGCATTTGGTATAGCCCCTCTCACATCAGGACATCTCAAAACGCTTCAAAGGATTTATTGTAAAATATTGTGACTGTATATTTTATGGGTATTCAAGGCAGTCATAAGTGAATGACCCATTTTATCTGGAGATTGTCAGCCAAGACACTGGGAGAGAGAAACTCCTCTCTCTTTTGGATTAGGATTGCTAACGTCTGCCGAGATAGGCTGGGTTGATGAAAAACCCAAAGGTGTCGATTTAGAAAGGAGACGGAAACGATGGGCTGAATGACACTCTTCTGCGCCTAACTTGGCTGTTTTTGTGTAAGTGTAAATCGCTGTGGTTTTGGTGATGGTAAAAGCTGCTGTCACTGAAGTGTTTTCAGCCAGGCAACTCTTTACACAGTTCCTTCTTGCGATCTTGCACCTCTCGATCAATGTGGGAGAGATGAGGTGTGAAATTAAACGCAGCATGAGCCAGCAGTCAGCGACCTGCACCTGAAGGCATTTCACCTCGAAGCCCGTTACAGCATGAAATCAAGGCTGTGGGTTCAAGCCTCACAGTCTAGGCTGACGCTCTAGTGCGTTGCATTGTCAGGTGCTGGATGAGACGTTAAATGAGGCTCCGTTTGTGCCTGTTCAGGTGGGTATTGAAGATTGCTTGGCACAGTTGGAAAAGAGAAGGGAGCTTCTTTCTCCCAGTGTCCTGGCTGACAATCCCTCAGATAAAATTGGTCATTCATTTCATGGCTGTTTGTCGGACATTGGTGTGTGCAAATTGGCTGCTGCTTTCGCCCACAAATACACAGTCACTATACTGTACTGTATAGCGATGCTTTGAGATGCCTCAATGACGTGATAGGAGGTGCATGATTACAGTAAACCTTTGGCTTACCAGGTATTCAGAATTTGGACCTAGCTGGACTAGGCCCCACACCAAAACATTTGTAGACTCCACCCATATCACCTTTCCTGGTGCATGCCAATACCACACTGAGCAGCATCACTGTGCTTGCTGGCCTTCATTGTGGCCAGGGATATCGGTTTTGACTCAGATTGTTTGAAACTTGTGAGCACTATATAGCTTATTCGCTATTTTCTGTTCATGGGATTCAAACAATTCCAATGATTCCGGTACCGGCATTGTAATTAATAATAATAATCCTTGCATTTGATATAGTGCCTTTCACGTCTTCTAGACGTCTCAAAGTGCTTCACAGAATAACTGTAAAGTGAATTGACTGTATCTTTGTGGGCGAAAAGTGGCAGCCAATTGCGCACAGCAGTGTCCCACAAACAGTCGTGATTTGAAGTGACCAATTTATTATTTTTTTCTTGAGGGATTATTATCAGATGTGTGGACTAAGGAAACTTGCACAAGGTTTCGCCCTGCCTAATTACACAGCAGGTATTCTGGCTCGCTGGATCGGACCTCTCGCCACCCCCACTTCACTCTTCAGTAGTCCAGTCATCTGGGGTTTTAGTGTAGGATTATTAATAAGAATATTATTATTTAATAAGAAATGATACAGAAGCGACCTCCATAGCTAATCTGGGTGACTGGGTATTTTGTGGGCGAAACCTGGCAGCCCGTTTGCACACAGCAATCTCCCACAAACAGCCTTAAAGTGTGTGACTAATTTTATCTCAGGATTGTTGGCCAGGACACCGTGTGAGAAACTCCCTTCTCTTTTTGACTAGCGTTCACCTAAACAGGCCAAAATGGGACCTCGGTTTCATCTGAAGGACGTCACTTCCGACAATGCAACACCCCCAGCACTGCATTGGAGTGTCATCTTAGACAATGTGATTCTAACTCCTCACATGAGGCTTAAACCCACAACCTTCTGACTCAGAGTCAAGAGTCTGACTGTCTGACATTCCAGATGTTTATTTTTCCCTTCCCTCAGCTGGACAATCCCGATGAACAGGCAGCACAGATCCGCCGGGAGCTGGATGGGCGGTTGCAGCTGGCGGAGCACTTGGCCAAAGTAAGTTGTGGTGAGAGTATCTACATATGGGCTGGGGAAGGATTTAAGTGAGACCCTCTCCTATGTGAAGGGTGCTGTGTAATTGCAGTTTGGAGTTGTAACCTCTTTTCCGGTTGTTTAAGGAGCGGAAGTTCCCGCAGTTTGGGCAGAAGGAAATGGAAAGCATGTACATTGAGGAGCTGAGATCTTCGGTCAACCTATTGATGGCAAATCTGGAGAGTCTTCCCGTGGCCAAGGGAGGGCCTGAGTGCAAGCTACAGAAGCTCAAGAGATCTCAGAATTCTTCCTTCCTGGACCTGGGAGATGAGAATGAGATCCAGCTTTCAAAATGTGACGTGGTTCTCTCATTCACATTGGAGGTGAGCTTTGCCAACAACAGCTTGCATTTATATAGTGCCGCTCAGGCAGGGTAACGTCCCAGAGCACTTGACATCTTTAACACCGCTTGTCCCGGGCGCAGTGACTGATGCTTGGTAATGCGGAGGTGGCATGTGTTAACTGAGTGCATTACTGTGTGTCACTCGCACTCTGTGTCGCTCGGTGTCATTTGCACACTGTGTCACTATGCTCAGATGAGACATTAAACCAAGTCCAGTATGTGCCTGTTCAGGTGCACATCAAAGATCCCATGCTCTGCTGGAAAAGAGAAGGGAGATTTTCTCTCCTGGCCGACAATCTTCCAGACAAGATCGGTCACTCACTTCATGGCTGTTTATGGGATGTTGCTGTGCACAAATTGGCTGCCACACTTTCAAATAAAATACACAATTTACATTTATATAGTGGCCTTCATGCAGGATAGTGTCTCGAAGCTCTGATAAATAGGCAATTTGGTACCAAGCTGGGGAGAGAGGGGAAGTGACCAAGGCTCAGTCAAAGAGGAAAGTCTTCAGGTGCATTCTGAAGATGGGTAAAGAGAAGGTGAGGCAGAGGATTTCAGGCAGGGAGTTCCAGAAGTTTGGGTCATAGTGCTGAACGCACAGTCACTGCACTTCACAGTAAAACCCTGGGAAGCGTTTTGGGTCGATCTCCTGAGGTGACAGGGACTATATCAAATGCAAGTGTTATTATCATTATTATATTCACATAAAAACGATGCTAATGGGTCATTTATCTGATTGCTGCTCTTGAGACTATTTTGGGAACTGATTAGCTGACACGTTTGCCAACAGAGCTTCAAAGTAACTCATCATGTGAAATCCTTTGAGACACATCAAAGCGATAACCTGCCCCATGGATCTCTCACCTCCAGTCCTGTTCCCAATCTTATCCATTTATAGATCAAAGAGAGTCAGAGCATACACAAATTCTCCAGCGCATCTTATCTACCCTGGGTGGTTCTTCACAGACAGTCTAACCCCACTCTACTGCACTCTCCACCCTTTTAACACCTGTCCTCTCCAAACATCTATCCAATTTTCTCTTAAAAGAAATGACAGACTCTGCCTCAACATCTCAAAGGAGACCTTAAAGAGGTATACGTTTTTAAAAGGGATTGAGAATGAAAAATAACAACAAAATTACATTTATAAAGCACCTTTCTTGACAGAAGGGTGTCGCAAGTCATTGGACAGTTAAGGGTTTAACGGAATCCTGAACATTGAGCAGAGACTGGAGGAACTTGGTTCTTTTTCTGCTGGAACAAAGCAGGTTGAGAAATGACCTGATAGAGGTCTTTAAAATTACAAAGGGGGTTGGTAGAGTCAATAGGGACAAATTATTTCCACTGGTTGGTGAGTTAGTGCCTAGAGAGCATCAATTTAAGATAGTTAGTAAACAGGCAACTGTTAGGAGAATTTTTTTCACACACAGAGTAGCTAGGATATGGAATGCCCTGCCAGGAGTGGGGGATGAGTCAGAATCCAGACTTGGCTTTCAAGAAGGAACTAAATGAATACCTTAAAAAGAGTCAGCTACAGGGGTGTGGGGAAAGGGCAAGAAAGTGGGGCTGAAAGGATTGCTCTTGAGGGAGGTGACACAGAAACGATGGTCCTAAAGGCCTTCTTCTGTGCCATAGGTTTTTGTGGGTCTAATATCCCTCTCAACCTTCTCATCTAAAAGTGAAAGAGTCTTAACCCAATGTTAGTCTGTAAATACATTCATTGGTACATGAATGGCAAATGGTACATGTGGTCAGACCACACCTTGAATACTACGTACAGTTCTGGTCACCGTGACATAAAGCAGCTCCCAGGCTCTCGAGGCAGTGCAGAGACAATTGAGCTGTGAGCAACAATTAGACAATCTTTAATAAGGGCTCTTCAGTCTTGAGAGAAGATGACTCAGAGGGGACCTTATAGGTATACAACATTTCACATGGGATTGAAGAAGTAAACCTAGATCAATACTTTAAGATGCAGCAAGACAGTAGAACAGGAGGATATGGGTTTAGAGTTGTGAAGGGCAGAAAATCCAGGAAGTTTTTCTTTATCCAGAGGAGAAATAATGACTGGAACAGATTAATAATAATCCTTGCATTTGATAGAGCGCCTCATCATGTCATCAAGATGTCTCAAAGTGCTTCACGGGATCTTACTGTAAAGTGGAATGACTGGATTTGTAGGCTAATACAGCAGGCAATTTGCACACAGGAATATACCGCAAACAGCCATGAAGTGAGTGAACAATTTTGGTTTTGGGGGGATTGGCTGCCAGGACACCAAGAGAGAGAATCTCCTTACTCTTTTCCAATATCGCCGCAGGATCTTTAACATCCACCTGAACAGGCATAGACGGGAACTTGATTTAATGTCTCATATGAAGGGTGACACCTCAGACAATACAGAGTTCCCCCAGCACTCAGCATGGCTGTGAGCTCAAAGTGCCACAACCTCCTGACTCACGAGGCAAGAGTGCTACCAACCGAGCCAGGTGATACTCAGATCTTTGAAAGATAATTGAGGACAGGGCGATGGGACTCATTTGAAAAACACTTGATGTTATCATAGGATGTTTGGTTGGGAGTGCTGAATCTAGTACTCTCAGTGACATGTTTAACTGCTTCACTACCTGGTTCCTTCATTCACTAGTTCCAGCCTCCTGCATGTCCCTCGTCCCCTCCGCTCCACCATCGTCGTATGTGCTTTCAACCATCATGGTCCGAATCTATGGCACTATCTGCTGCAATCCCTTTGCCTTTCTACTACTTGCTCTTCTTTCCCTGAAGAGCTTCCTCTTCGACTGTGCTTACGGTCACCTCTGCTTTCTCCCCGGCTCGGTGTCAAGCTCTGCCATTGTTAAGCACTCTCTGATGCTGCCCCGCGCAAAGAGGCTATACAGATGCAAATTATTGTTTTTATTGATGATGTTGTTGATGTCGATGTTGTTGTTGACTTTTTTTAAGAATTGAAAAGCTCATTTTAAATGATGACATTTCTCACAATCAGTACGTGTGTCTGACATCTCTGCTCACTCTCTCTGACTCTCTCTTAGACTTTCTCTGTGTCTCTCAGTTTATCACACTTTCTCTGCAGTGTCTCTATGACTTTCTTGACTCTCAGTTTCTGACTCTGTCTCCCACTCTCAGTCTCTGTGTGTATCTCTCTCACTCACTCTCTTTGTTTCTCTCTCTCTGATTCTCTGGCTCTCTCTGACTCTCACACTCAATCTTACTCTCTCTGTGACTTTCTCAGTCTCTCTCTCAGTAATAATAATAATCCTTGCATTTGATATAGCGCTTTTCACGCCTTCTAGACGTCTCAAAGCTCTTCACAGAATATGCTCTAAAGTGAATTGACCGTATATTTGTGGGCGAAACGCGGCAGCCAATTGCGCACAGCACAGCAATGTCCCACAAACAGTCGTGGTTTGAAGTGACCAATTTATTAATGTTTTGTTTTGGAGGGATTATTATTGTGCCTCTCTGTTTGAGCTTGTATTGGAGGTTGTGCTTGTATCTCTCTCTCTCTCTCTCTCTCTGTGACTCTCGGTGTTTGAGCACGTATTAGAGGTTTTGTTTGTATCTCTCCTCTCTGTTTCTGAAGTCTCTGAACTGTCTTTGCAGATTGTGATAATGGAAGTGCAGGGCCTGAAGTCAGTGGCTGCCAATCGCATTGTGTACTGCACCATGGAGGTGGAAGGCGGAGAGAAGCTGCAGACTGACCAGGCCGAGGCCTCGAGACCACAGTAAGCACAGTCCCCTGATCGCTCACACCTCGCTGGACCCACGCCCAATCCTTACGTTTAATCCAGCGCCTTATCATATTCAGTGTCGTAGGACTTACTCCTAAATTGAAAGACGCTATATAAATGCAATTTGTTGCTGTTATCCAGAGTCTCAAAGCACTTCAAAAGATTCACAATTCAGTTGAATTTTACGGATTTTTCACACGCCTCCGCATCATAGAGTGGGCGGCTCAAGAGAGCAACGACAGCAACTTTCATGTATATAGTGCTTTCGATTGAAAAAAAGTGTCTTGGAGACTGTTATAACACGTAGATTTGTGTGTTTGTGTGTGTGTGTGTGTGTCCACACCGAACAGGAAAATTTAAAGATTAGTGATAGACTTTTATAATACAATAATTCTTGCATTTGGTAGAGTGCCGTTCACCTCACTCGCACTCTCATCTCTGAGGTGGAAGGTTTTGTGTTCAAGCCCCACATCAGGGACTTTGAGTTTGCAGTCCAGGCTGACACTCCAGTGCAGTGCTGCGGGGGAGTGCTGCATTGCCGGAGGTCTGTCCTTCAAATGAGACGTTAAACCTAGGCTTGTGCAGGTGGACGTTAAACAACCCGTGGCACTATTGGGTAAGAGAGCGGTTAAGTGGGAATGAATTCAAGATTGCGACTCAGGGAGTGACAAGAGAGGTTTGGAGGAACTTCTCCCAGAGGCATGTCAGGGTGTGGAGCGATTTGCCAAGGGCGGAGTCGATTGAGGGGGCATTGGAAATAGAATTGGACAGGCACACACAGAGGGAGAGGATTAGAGGTGACGGGGAAAGAGCAGGGAATTGGGATAAATATGGACAGCTTCTTGGAGGAGCAAACACTCAATACAGGATGATGCTGCTGTGACGTACATTTCTATAGTTGAATGATACATGTGAGTGAAAGACTGTGTTTGCACTGAGTCTGATGCTGAGTGTCTCACTGTTGCTGACAGTGCCTGGGGCTGAGCAACTCGCACTGTGAGTGACGTGGCATTCACTGCGATCAATTCACTGATTGATCCGTCAGAAGCCGTGCTCATCAGAATCCTGAGAGAAAAAGGCGTGAAGTTCTCTCTACATTGTGAAGCTCTCTCCCAAGAAACACTGTCACCCTGCTGTGCCCCACTCCCTCTGTGTCTTAATCAACTCTACACTCCCAGCAGGACGTGAATGGCATTCAGGAGCTGAGCGGCCAGTCAATCCCAAGTGAGGGAGGGAGGGAGCGTGTAGACTCTCTCTGACAGGTCTGTAGTACGCTGTCCTCTCTGCTTGTCAAGACTATAATGAGTTCCAGGAAACGGTCAGACCCATCACCCCTGCTGGATTGTCATCTCAGTGGACATTGAACTCTGACCAACTCCAAACTGGACAAACCAATGGCTCACTTGTACCCCTAACCCCCACTCCACCCACCCCCCCACCCCCCGATCAACATGGAGCAACATTCATTCTTAGAATAAAAATTAGATCCTTACATTCGATATAATAATAATTGTTATTGCACTTGATTTTCTGTAAAGTGCAGTGACTGTGTTTCTTGCGGGCGAAGTCAGCAACTAATTTGCATACAGCAACCCCCTCAAATAGCCATGAAGCGACCAATCTCGGGGGATTTTTGGCCAGGACACTGGGAGAGAGAAACTCCATTCAGTTTCCCAATAGTGCTGAGGGATCTTTGATGTCCACCTGACCAGGTATAGCTGAGGCCTCAGTTTAATGTCTTATCCGATGGACAGTAGCTCTGACAATGCAGTGCTCCCCCCAGCGCTGTATTGGCCCCTCAGCCTGGACTGTGAGCTCCACATCCCGATGTGGGACTTGAACCCGCAACTTTCTGGTTCTGAGACAAGCACTATGTCAATCTCAGCATTACATAGTTGGCAGCGATCAAACGATGGGTAGCAACAGATTAAACCACTGTGAGATACAGCAGTTGGGTTTGCAGAACTGTCTGCAATGAATGGATTCAGTGAAAGATTTGTTCATCGTCAGACCTGTGGGATGACGAGTAAGTGCGTGGCTGAGCAACTCTGGTGACAAATTCCACCATCTCCCGGAGCTTTCTCTCTATGCAGTGAGCAGAACTGCGGCTGCTGAGCAGCTAATGTCAGCCTCTGCTGCTCGTGTTTGTGGGATCATAAAGCCAGTCACTTTGCTGGTGCTGCCCATCCAGCATGACAGTGATTTTGGAGAATGTGAAGGATTGGCTTTTAGCTCATGCTCAGTCTTGCTTAGTCGGTCACTTTTGGGCCCCAATTCCCTACCCCATGTGAAGAGCGCTACATAAATGAAAATTGTTTGTGTTGTTATTACTGCTTCATATTACTTCATATCCCCCTGCCTCCCCCCTACCCCTCACAGTGTATGAACATGTGAGGGAGAGAGGGTTATCCGTGCTAACAGTTTGTGTACATGTATGGGGGGAGAGGAAGAGGGTTATCATTGCTAATATGTGTATTGGGGAGGGTTAAAGGTTATTAGTGCTAACGGTGTGTGTGTGTATGTATGGGGGGAGAGAAATTTATCAGTGTTAACAGTGCGTGTATGTATGGGGGGGTGGGGGGGAGAGGGTTATCAATGCTAACAGGTGTTGATGCCCGCCCGCTGAGCTTAGTGATGTAAAAACAAGCTGTGAAGCTCGGCAGTGATGTAGGTGGTGAGCTTCCTGGATGGAGATGGGTGGTTGTCATGGAAATGGAAGGAAAAGATGCCAAAAGTGCAAATTTGCTGCAAAACGGTGAATAGGCCTCCAGAGTGCTGCTGGCAGTGCGTCTGATTCAATTATCCAATGGTCCCATTCTGTTGTGGGCTCACAGCCTCAATAACCAGTGTAGTGACTGTGTGTTTTGAACGCAACAGCCAATTTGCGCACAGCAACATCACACAAACAGCCATGGAGTGAGTGACCAATCTTCTCTGGGATTTGTCGACCAGGGCACCAGGAGAGAGAAACTCGCTTCTCTTTTCCAATAGAGCCTCGGTATCTTGGTGTCCTGGCCGACATTCCCCAAGATAAAATTGGTCACTCACTTCATGGTTGTTTGTTGGATGTTGCTGTATGCAAATTGGTTGCCGTGTTCGCCTACAAACACACAGTCACTACACTTTACAGTGTATCCTGTGTAGCTCTTTGAGACACTGTGATAATATGATATGGCGCAGCCTCAAATTTTTTTATAATGGCAGCCACTCAAAATTCTATCCAGTCTCAATTGGCCAATAAATGTAATAATATTACTAATCCTTACATTTGATGTAGCGTCTCTCACGTTGCCAAACATGTCCAAACTGGGGGGAGGTGAGGAAGGGGACAGTGGGAAAAGATGACCACAGTTGAAAAGAAAAGTCTTAAGTTGGGTATCAAAGAGGGGAGGTGGAGAAACTCAGGATGGAGTTTCAGAGAAACGGGGCAGAATGGCTGACAACTCGACTGCCAATGGTTATAATAATAATAAAAATTATTGTCATCATGTCCTGAACCAGCACAATCAGAGTATTTGGTTCAGCATAACAATGTCGCTAAATGTTTTCACTGGACAATTTGTAAACATTTGATGTTGATATTGATGTAAAGACCAACTGGTATAAACATCAACCAGAAAAGGTGACATGAAAAAATATCACAATAATCTGTGATTCACAAGTACATACAGATAGAACAGTAATCTGTAACAAACCAGATATCATTCCCTAGCACTTCCCTACTTCTCCGACCTCCTTACTCCTCAATGCACGACCCGGTGCCTCCGCTTGACTGGCACCGGCCATCGCGCCCTCCGCTCCACCATTGGAGGTCTCGCATTCAGCCACTACGCCCCCAGACTTCCTCAATCCCTCCACCTTGCCCTCTCCCCCCTTTTTCAAGTCCCGCCTGAAAACCTTTATCACCGTGCTTACGGTCACCTCCCCTCTCCCCCCACCGGCTCGGAGTCAGGCTCCACCACTGTTAAGTGCTCTGAGACGTTACCCTGCTTGGAGGGCGCCATATAAATGCAAGTTGTTGTTTTTATCATAAAGGACCAAATAGATTGTACATTGTTGATTATCCCAAATGATTACCATATGAAAAATAAGGAACTAGAGAAAATCAGGAAATATATTGTCTATAAATTGAATGTTTGTTTTTACATAAGTGGCAATGTAAAACAAACATAGTTCTTATAATCCTTGATGCAACTGGAAGTGTTAATAAGACTATTCAGAAATGGCTTGACAAAATACCTAGTGAGTAAAATATCAACTTCCAACAAAATGTAGCTATTTTAGGAAACTCAAACATAACTTCCATTCATATGTAATGTGGGAGTATTATTGATCTGGCTGACCCAGCACTGAAAACCACTTAGGAACTACCTCTATAGAGTGATTTAAACTGTAATAATTATTATCATAATTATAATAATGTAATAATTTAATTATCACAGCATTCAGACATCTCGCAGCGCTTCACATTGTAAAGTGTAGTGACTGTGTTTGTGGGTGGTTTCTTGTATACTTTGAGACACACAATGCGGTGGCTGAGGCTGGTGGAGCTCAGTGCCCAGCGTCGCTCTAACAAGCAGTTTTTTCACATCAAACGCTCGCCAATTAGTTTCCCTGTGGAGCGCACCCACCCTGTGCCTGCACTCATTAGCTGGATTTAGTGAGCGGCTGCCGCTCTGTAGTTAAAGCCTTTGTGGCCCGTGTCTCTGCAAGTCTCCCGGAGACTCCCGGGGTGGACTGCCGGCTTCTGAGACGGAGCACCTCGCTCTATTCACTTAATCTGTCTCTTTCCATCTCTGCCTTTCTGTTTGCTCTTCTGCCTGCATATCTGCCTGCGTATCTATCTGTGTATCTGTGTCTCTCCCAACTCTGTCTTTCTCTCTCTTTCTTCTCTCCTTTGCTCTGTTTGTCTGCCTCTCTGTGTCTCTGCTTCTCTTTTTGCACGCCATCTCCATCTCTGTGTCTCTTTTTGCTCTTCTGTCTCTCTTTGTCTCTCTCTTTTTAACTTTTTTGTCTCTCTGTCTTTCTCACTTTAAGACTTTCTCCTGATATGAAGGACGCTGATGTTAAGGGTATCAGATAAATATTGCTAATGTTGTTATCTAACGTGTGGGTCGGCTACACTCTGCCCCGATCTGCTTTGGTGGTAAACTGTTCCCCAGGGCTCCAGCTACAGTAAACAGGTTGCCAGGGGCTTTGCCTCTAGTCTCTGGAAAGATTCCTCATGTCGCTATTCACTAGACTTGCTGGGTTTCCACACATCCTTGACTGACGCCCTGGGCTTGGGAATAACTGAGTCATCGAGCCCCAGCTGTGCGCGAGGGTAGAGAAGTGGAACTGTCCAGGGAACCAGTGAAAATGTGTGTCAACCGCAGTGGTAGCGCTGTCGCCTCTGAGTCAGAGGTTGTGGGTTCAAGCCCTACATCGGGGATGTGGTATCACATAATCTGGGTTGACACTCCAGTGCAGTACTGGGGGTGGGGTGTTGGATTGTCGGCAGTGCCTGTTCAGGTGGATGTTAAAGATCCACAGCATTATTCCAAAAGAGAAGGGAGTTTCTGTCTCCTGGTGTCCTGACCAACAATCATATGTCAAAACAACCAACCATCAAATAAATAAAATTGGTCATTCACTCCATGAATGTTTGTGGGACGTTGCTGTACGCAATTGTGCCACTGCGTTTGGGTACGAACACAGTCACTGCAATTTACCGTATTTCCTGTGAAGCACTTTGAGAAGTCCTTCTGATGCGATAAGACACTATACCAAACAGTGCTCAGGTCATCTCCATTCAGAGACAGATCTGCATTGTCAGAGGTGCCATCCTTGAGACTTCAAACCGAGCTCCCCATCTGTACCTGTTCATGTGGATATTAAAGATCCCGCAGCGCTATTTGAAAAGAGAAGGGAATTTCTACCTCTAAGTGTCCTGACCAACAATCCCCTAAATAAACTTGGTCATTTGTTTCATGGTAGTTTATGGGACATCATAGTGCACAACTGGTGGCTGGGTTTCGCTCCCAAAACACAGTCAATCCACTTTACAATATAGCCTGTGAAGTGCTTTGAGGCATCTCGAAGATGTGAAATGCAAGGATTAGTATTATTATCGTAACTGTAGCCTTTCAAACCCCCAAATCATTCTCGTAAAAATCCAAGCCTTAAAATCTTTGCTGAAGTGAGGTGTTCAAAACGCAATACTCCAGTTGCAGCCTGGGCAGTGGTTTCTACAAACTGAGCATAATTTTCTTTTTTTGGTCTCTCTGCCCCTGTGTATGACCCCAACATACCCAGCCTTATTCACAGCCCTTGCCACTTTCTATAACTTAGGTAACTGCCCTAACAAATTCCTTTGCTCCACACCTCCTGGCAAGACACTGCCATTCAATGTATGCTCTCTGTATAGAATCTCGAGTTCTCGCCTTCTGAGCAAGAGACCTGGGTTCGATTCCCAGCAGCACAAAACCTTGGGTAAGATTCCTTACTCCACATGACTGATAATAATCCCTCAAGAAAAAAGCAATAATAATTTGGTCAGTCAATCCACAACTGTTTGTGGGACGCTACTGCGCGCAATTGACTGCCGCGTTTTGCCCACAAATATACAGTCAATTCACTTGACAGTATATTTTGTGAAGCGCTTTGAGACGTCTCGAAGACGTGATAAGCGCTGTATCAAATGCAAGGATTATTATTATTACTCCCCTCATTTTTCTTACCAGAAGGTAGCACCTCACATTTCGCTTCATTGAACCTCAGCTGCCACATTGCGCTAACCTGTTTACATTTATTTCTAACTAACTCCGTCTTTATTTCCTTTTCTCCAATCTCGCAACCTTACCTCTGAGTACTGCCTTTCTTATATGGAATCTAATTATATTATGATCCCCCTCCCCTAAATGTTTGCCCACCCTCAGTTTGCCCACAAAATATACAGTCAATTCACTTTACAGTATATTCTGTAAAGCGCTTTGAGACATCTCGAAGACGTGATAAGGCGCTATATCAAATGCAAAGATTATGTATTATTATACATCAGTTCCTTGGTTTCTTACCCCAAAACTATACCTCCTTCCTGCTGGGCTGCCCACGAATTGCTTATTAAAGCTGTCTTGGAGGCATTCTAAAAATGTAATTCCCATTTTATCCCTCGATACCTTCTTTATTCCACTCAATCTTGGGACCTGAAGTTCCCCTTTTTCACCACTCTATTGTAAGAAATCTCCTCACAATGGGCGGTCAATAGTCCAATCCTCCTACATTGAATACTCCCTTTCTACTTCTTATTTCCACCCACAAGGACTCTGTCTGAATATTACTGTCTGTAATAACCTTTTACTCTAATAATGAGGGAGTCCCAGATTAATAAACTCACGTTGGGACTTGGAATCATACAGTCTAAACTACACTTCGGTACAGTGTTGCATTGACGGAGTTGCCTTCTTTCGGATGAGACGTTAAATCAAGGTTCCGTCTGCCTGTTCAGGTGGATGTTAAAGATCCTGTGGCATTATTCCTAGCTGCCATATAGTCCAAGCTGACTGACACCCTCTCTGCCTGTGATCTGACTGACAAACTCTTTGTCTGTTTTCTGACTGACGCTCTCTTTGCCTGTATGTGTTTCAGGTGGGGCACTCAGGGAGATTTCACCACCACCCACCCTCGCCCAGTGGTAAAGATTAAACTCTTCACGGAGAGCACAGGTGTTCTCGCGCTGGAGGATAAGGAACTGGGGAAGGTAAGATGTCCAGTTCATGACATTATTGTCTTGATCACTGAATGAGGGGTATCTGCCTCAGTCGCTCCCCTGCCCTTCTCCCGCCCAACCACCACCACCCCCGCACCACTTCCACACACGCACACACCTTTTAAAAAGATTCCACTTCAGATAGTCCTTTTAATAGCTGCTAAGATCTCAGCTCTGTTCAGTCACTTGCACTCTCAGACGGTTGTAGGTTCAAGCCCCATGTCAGGAATTCTGTTCAGGTAGACATTAAAGATCCCTTGGTTCTATTGGAAAAGAGAAGGGAGTTTCTCTCTCTCCTGGTGTCCTAGCCGATAATTTCTCAGATAAAATTGGTCAATCACATCGTGGCTGTTTATGGGATGTTGCTGTGTGCAAATTGGCTTCTGAATAAAACCGCCGGATCTTTAACATCCACCTTAACAGGCACAGACAGCACCTCGGTAAAACGTCTCATCCAAAGGACCACACCACAGCGGTTGGGCCTTCAGCCTTTCTTCCCCCACCCTATGGAACTCCATCCCATATTCCCTTCACCTTGCTCCCTCCCTTGCTTCCTACAAAGCTCCTTTGACCGAGCCTGCTGCCACCCTCCTTGCCCTTCACCCTCCACCCTCCCCGATCCCGACCCACAGCTCAGGTCCAAATCCCTAACTGTCCAGCACTTTGGGATGTCATCCCGATGTGAAAGGTGCAATACAAATGTAACTTTGTATTGTAATGCAGCGCTCCCCAGGATAGTCTATCTGATTCCAAATCCTGATGTTGGGCCGGAACCCCCAACCTTCTAACTCAGAGGTGAGAGTGCGAGTGACTGCACACCCCCATCACCATGCCTTCCTCATGCCCTCCTGCGCTGACGATCTGGCTCCCGCTTTCTTCTTCGCAGGTGGTCCTCTGCCCCACTCCTAACAGCCCCAAGGCCCCCGACTGGCACAAGATGGCAGTGCCCAAGAGCAGCCAGGACACTGAGCTGAAAATCCGACTGGCGGTCAGGATGGATAAGCCAGCCAACATGAAGCACTGTGGGTGAGTGAGGCTGAGGGTGGCTGAGGCTGAGGGTGGGTGAGGCTGAGGGTGGGTGAGGCTGAGGGTGGGTGAGGCTGAGGGTGGGTAGAGTGAAGCCAAACCCAGAGTTGAGTGAGTTGGAGACCATTTACTTACTATGTGCTGCCACCCTGTGGTGGAGAGGCAGTATTGCGCCACATGGCACTGGAAATCCACACAATTTCTATTCAAAATAATTCTTCCATCAGTCGGATTGAGACTTTAAACGAAAGCCCCGACTGTGCCGGTTCAGGTGGATGTTAAAGATCCCGTGGTACTGTTGGTTTAAAAAAAAGGGAGTTTCTCTCTCCGAGTGTCCTGGCCGACAATCCCCAGATAAAATTGGCCGTTCACTTGATGGCTGTTCATGTAATGTGGCTGTGTACAAACTGTGTTCACCTATAAAACACACAGCCGCAGTTTGCAGTATCCTTTGAAGCGCTTTGGGATGTCCTCCCGATGTGGAAGATTTTACACCAAATGCAACAATGACAGTGTTCGGTTTATAAATCGTTGTGTGCAGTTCTGGTGTCAGGTGGCACAGTACTGGCAGCGTACTGTCACAGGGTGGCAGCACATTGTACGTCAATTGTCTCCGTCTCTGATGGAAAGTTCCCAGATTTGCGCTGAAAATGCAGCTGGTAATGAATATAAATTATAATTGGTGATAAACTTATAACAATAATCCCTCCATTCCATATGGTGACTTTCGTGTGCATGCAACATAAGCAATCTCTTGACTTTACATCCAGCGAAGCTCTTGGAGACGTCCTTCTGATGGGTTAAGGCGTGGTCTTAAATGCAAGAATTATAATTTTCAAGTTGAAAAATCTGAACGTGCTTCATACGATTTTCTGTAATATGTCGTGTATTTGCGTAATGTGTAGTGACTGTGTACTGTGTGGGCGAACGCAGCGGCCAGTTTGCACACAGCATCGTCTCACAAACTGTAAATGACCGATCTTCCGTGGATTGTAGGCCAGGACACCTGGAGAGAAACCCCCTTCTCTTTTCGAATAGTGCTACGGGATCTTTAACTTCCACCTGAACAGTCACAGACGGGACTTCGGTTTATTGACTCATCTGAAGGATGGCACCCTCCGGCAGTACAGACTGAGACAGGCAGACGGTGAGGCAGGCATATTGAGAGAGGCAGACGGTGAGACAGGCATATTGAGAGAGGCAGACGGTGAGACAGGCATATTGGAGAGGCAGACGGTGAGACAGGCAGGCGCTGAGATAGGCAAACGGTGAGACAGGCAAGAGGTGCAACAGACAGATTGAGAGAGGCAGAGAGACAGACGGTGAGACAGGCAGACAGACCTATAAAGAACATTGAGGTGCATGGGGAAAGCCGAGGAATGTGAGTGTGTGCACATGCACTTAAAAGGCATGGGTCCGAAATGAGCTTGGAGGTATCTCAGTGCGGGGCAAGTCTTCCGTGACTGCGGAACAGAGCTGAGTGGTGGTGGCAAGGTGGTGCTGTGTTGAAGTTACTGCCTGCAGTAAGAGCATTTAGCCAGTCAGTGGCACTGTCTGTGCACCAGTGGCAGAAAGAGAGAGTTATAATAAAAAAAACTGTGCATTTGATACAGTGCCTTATCACGTCATTGAGACTCCTCAAAGCGCTTCACGGGATTTAGTGTAAGTATAGTGATTGTATATTTTGTAGGTGAAACTTGGCAGCCAATTTACTCACAGTAAATGTCCCACAAACAGCCATAAAGTGAGTGATTGATTTTATCTGAGGGATTGTCAGCCAGGATACCGGGAGAGTGAAACTCTTCTCTCTTCTTCAACTTGGAACCACGATGGTTGGAGCTGAGGTCGGATAGCATTTCTGTTTGTGTCAGGGCTGACTCAGTTTTAGAACTCTCACCTCTGTGTCAGAAGGTTTTGGGTTGAAGCCCAACATCGAGACGTGAACTTGCATGGTCCAGGCTGCCTCAATCCCTCTTCCCACTCACCCTCTCTTTGAATCCCTCTTGAAAACCTACCTCTTCAACCGCACCTATGGTCACCTCCCCACTTCTCTCTCACTGAGTAACCACGCACACAGCATCAAAATATTATCCTATGTAAAAGGCTCTGTATAAACGCAAGTTATTGTTGTCAATCATTTTGTGACGAAAGGCTGTAAGATTGGTATTAAGAGATCTGCCGAGATCTAATAAACTGGTGGAACTTCAGCCTAGCGTGTCAGCCTAGCTCAGTGGTAGCGCTCTCCTCGCTGAGTCAGAATGTTGTGGATTCAAGTCCCACGTCAGGATTTGGAATCACATAGTCTAAGATGACACTCCAATGCAGTGCTGTAGGTGTGTGTTGCATTGTTGGAGGTGTTGGCCTTCAGATGAGACATTAAACCAAGGCCTTGTCTGCCTGTTGAGGTGGACGTTAAAGATCCCATGGCACTATTCGAAAAGAGAAGGGAGTTTCTCTCTCCCAGTGTCCTGGCGAACAGTCCGCCAAATAACATTGATTATTGATTTCACAGCTGTTTGTGGGACATTGCTGTGCACAACTGTCTGCTGCGTTTTGCCCACAAAATACAAAGTTGCTCCACTTTACAGTATATCTTTTGAAGCGCTTTGAGACGTTAAAATGTGATAAAGCGCTATATCAAATGCAAGGATTATCAAATGCAAGAAATGGGCTGAATAGGTTCCTCCAGTCCCTAGGGTTGTGGAGGCCATTCTGCCTGGGACATCTGTTTCTGGGGTCACCTATCCCAGGGCTTCAGACCCTTTCACACTGGAAACCCTGGATCCCTGATCAGTAAATGACAGTCACTGATCAACAAGTGACAGTCACTGATCAATAAATGACAGATACAAATCACCTAACCAACACTCTGTGACTCTTTCTCTCAGTAGTCCGGTTTCTGAGTCAGGCGGGTCTGCAGTACTTCAGGGCACTGACAATCCCAGCCCAGCCTGGCTCATCGGCAGGACTTAGAAACGCAGACCAGTCACTGGGACAGTGAATCATCCCACTCAGCACTTAACCCTGCAAGTCCAAGCCATAACTGGTAGGGTGGTCTTAGCTGGATAAGCAATGGGCAGCTTGCCAGACAGTGCTATCAATGGCAAGCTGTGCAGTTTTTACCTGGTTAGATTCCAGCATTTAGCCTAAAACACCAGCCTATTACTCTTTAAGATTAAGATTAAGTAAGAAGGCTGCTTCCTTCCGTGGAGAGAGTGCACATTCCAATCCCACGCTCCCTCTCCCCTTATCTCTATGTTTATATTTTACATCTCTCTTCCCTCCTCTCTCTCTGTTTCTGTGTCTTCACTCCGATAACAAAGGGCTGCTGCACCTTCCCCCCCCCGCACCCCATCATTGGTGGCTGTGCCTTCAGCCTCTAAGCCTCAACCTCTGGAACTCCCTGCCTCAACCCCTCCGCCTTGTGGAGTCCTGTGGCTGAATGGTTAGAACATTCACCTAACAAGCGAAAGGACCTGGGTTCGATTCCTGGGCGAGGCAAAGCATTGGGCAAGTTTCCTTTCGCCACACCTTGCCTAGCAGTAAGTAGGAACCCGGTTGTAAGTCGATTAGCGGATCGCTTTTCCAGGGGTAAAAATACTAAATAATTTTTTTAAAAATGTTGTCACGTCAATTCACGACTGTTTGTGGGATACTGCTGTTCATAATTGGCTGCCACATTTCACCCAGAAAATGTACAGTCAATTCACTTTACAGTATGTTCTGTGAAGCGCTTTGAGACGTCTCGAAGCTGTGATAGGGTGCTGTATCAAATGTAAAGATTATTATTATTTATTATTATCTTTATTTTTCTTTAAATCCTACTCTTCGACCGTGTCTATTGTCACACCCCCTTCCCTCTTGCTCGGTGTCCCGACCACTCCCACTGTGCAGCACTCCGAGACACCTTCCTGCATGAAGGGTGCTGTGTCAATACAGGTTGATGTTATATTTTCTCCTCTTTCTGTGTCTCTCCTCGCTGTTTCCACATCTCCCTCTCTTCTCTCTGTCTCTTTTCATTTTCTCTATGCCTCTCTCCTCCCTCCTCCCTCTTTCCACGTCTATTCTCCCACTCCTTTCTTCTCTCCGTTTCTGCATCTCTTTTAACATGCTCCCTTTCACTCTACTCTTTTCTCTCTGTTTCTGCATCTCTTTTAACACACACTCTCTCTCCCTCTCTCTCTACCTTTCTCTCTCTCTTCTCTGTCTCCACATCCCTTTTTCCATTCTCTCTCTCCCCTCTCTCCTCTCCTCTTTCCCTCAGTTTCCACGTCTCTTTCTCCACTCTGTCTCCGACTCCGTCTCTCCTCGCAGTTGAAAATTACTTTCCCTTGCTGAGCGTCAGGATAAAAGGAGGAATGCAGTGTGTGGACGGAGGGACAGCTCCTTTCATGCGGCGAAGTAGAGTGTAACAAAGAGTGAAAGTGCCCCGAGCCATTCCAGCCCCCATTGGCTCAGACAATAAATGCTCTGATGCCCAGTGCTATCTGCATTGTTGTCACCTAAATGGGACAATGAGAGTCTGAAAGGTGTTTGAGAATGAAATAAAAATCATTTTCACAAGTGGGTGATTAGTTTCGCCAGCTGTTAACTGAACTCAGTCATTAAAGTCCCTGGATTTCTTTGACTGCATTAGTGGCTCTTTGGACATTCACTGGGCACATTCTTTAACGAAACCCTCGCAATAGAAGAGAGTGGGGAATGTGTGTGTGTGTTAGTGTGTGGAGAGGAGCGAGAAATAGCTTTTTGTATAGATTTTCTGTACATATCTCCTCATTGTTTCAGTCTGGTGCAACATTGCACACAAACAGCGATCGCAGTAACACACGCCAGGTTACTGCATTCCTCAGGAAAAAAGCGGCAGCTTGTCCTAAAGCCTTTGTAAAGGACCCTTCCTTTCATCCCAGTGTATTGGCCGACAAGCACCCAAATAAAACCTGACTCGGAGGTTAGAGCGTGAGCCAGGCTGAGCCAGGCTGAGTTTAGCAGTAAGTGTCAGACAGTGATGCGATTTGTGTGTCTGTGTGTTGCAGCTACCTGTACGCACTGGGGCAGAAAGTCTGGAAGAGATGGAAAAAGCGATACTTTGTGCTGGTTCAGGTCAGTAACTGTCAAACCACACCCTCCCATCACACTATGTTCAGGTGCTGCTTTGCTGTTGAGTGTGAGTATGTCCTCGTGTTCTGGCTCTCTATTACAGAATGGAGTTGATTTTGAGATCCTCACACTCACATATAAATCCCTTCATGCCCTGGCATTTCCCAGCTCTCTGAACCTACTCACACTCCACTCCGCTACCCGCCTCCTTTGCTTAGCTGGCTCAAGCATCCTGCACATCCCTTGGCCCTTCTGCTACTGCCATGCGTTCAGTCACTTCGCCCTGGAACTCTCTGTCACAATCCCTTCGCCATTCCCCCTTTTTCAGATCACGCCTTCCTCTTTGACCGTGCTTATGGTCAGTTCCCCTCTTTCCCCAGCTCGGCGTCAAGTTAACACCAAAATTGCATTTATATAATGGCTTTCATGTTGGGAAGAACATCCCAAGGTGCTGGACAGTCGATTGTTTGCACCTGAGCTGGGGGTTGGAATCAAGAGGGGTGGAGGGTAAGGTGGGTGGAGGTGGGAGAAAGACCGAAGGCATGGTCAAAGAGAAAGGTCTTTTAGACCAGTCTTGAAGGAGGCAAGCGAGGGGGAAAGGTGGAGGGACTACAGATGGAGTTCTAGAGGGGGGGACAGAAAGGTTGAAGGCCTGATCAACAATGGTGGGGGATATGGACTAGGCCAGTGCCCGCCGAACGGAAGTTGGTAAATGTTTTGTGGGTTGCAGAGTTAGAGAGGAGGAAGGTGAGGAGAGAGTCTTCAACTCAATCCTCTGGGGAATGGGGATCCAGTGAAGTCGGGCGGGATGGAGTTAATTGGCTCACGGATCTTAGTTCTGGAGAGGACAAGAGCCACGGAGTTCTGGATAATCTGCTCCATTAAACCCTCCGAGATGCTGCCCCTTGTGAAGAGTGCTGTGTAAATACAAGTTGTTGTTGTAGTTTTGTGGTGAGGCGGCCATGGCTAAGATGCAGTGCTGTTGTTTTGCAGGTCAGCCAGTACACGTTTGCCATGTGCAGCTACAGAGACAAAAAGTCGGAGCCTCAGGAGCTTATGCAGCTGGAAGGGTACACAGTGGATTACACAGAGACACAGCCAGGTACTCCCTACGAGAGATGCTGCTGCTGAAATCAGCTTATTCCCTGGCCCTGAGGGGTGGAGGGGGTTGAAAGGGGGGAGGGGGGAAAACAGCCGTTGTTTACACCAAACCTGTTTCCTGGCACGAGAGAGAGAGAGAGAGAGAGACGTGCCAAGCGGCAGCTTCTGTGCTGAAGGGAAGGCTGGTGTTCAGCAGATTGTCATGTTTGCTGTCTGCGCTCGATGGAACTGGGATTGACTCCTCAGTGCTTTGCGACGCTCAAAGCACGGGTCTGCGTCTCTGTCCTCTTGTTAACAAACTCCCCTGACATCCAAACTCAGAGTGCATGGAATCACAGAGACAGAGCCAATGGCACAAGCCTAATTTCCACCCATTCCACCATCTCAGTGTTGAATGTTTGCTCCGCTAGTGAAGATTAGCCCCAATCCCCTTCTCTTTCCCTATCCCCTTTGATCCTCTGCCCTCTGACCCTCTGCCTCTCCGCGTGACTCTGAGATCCTCATCAGGGGCTTTGAGCTCAGTCCAGGCTGACGCTCCAGTGCAGTGCTGGGGGAGCGCTGCATTGTCAGAGGTGCCGCCCTTCGGATAAGTCGGAAAACTGAGATCTCATCTGTGCCTGTTAAATCGGTCACTCGCTTCCCGGCAATTAGTGAGACTTTGCTCTGCACAAATTGGCTGGCGAGTTCACCCACAAAATCCACAGTTATTACACTTTACAGTAAATCCTGTGAAGCGTTTTGAAACGACCTCCTGATGTGAAAGGGGTTGCATCAGATGATTGTGTCAAGCTGACGCACTGGGAGATGGGGAGGCAGTGGAGGAGAGGATCTGACCCAGGGTCTTGTGATATGTTTGGCTTGCAGGTCTGGATGGGGGCCGAGCTTTCTTCAACGCGGTGAAAGAGGGAGACACAGTGGTGTTTGCAAGCGACGACGAGCAGGATCGGGTGCTGTGGGTCCAAGCTATGTACAGAGCGACTGGCCAGTCGTATAAGCCCATCCCACCATCCCAGGTGCAGAAGCTCAATGGGAAGGGGAGCAGTGCTCAGCACCCTGACGTCCCTATTGCTCAGTTCTGTGAGTAAACCTCAGTTGGTTGGCAAGTGTCGCTAAATTATTTATGCTTTCAGCTTGGTCATCTGAATACTTGATGAAGACGGGCTCAGTGAGTTGTCCTGTCCTAAATGGTTGATGAGCCTAGAAAAAGTTGGGTAGTGTCTCAGAGCGCTTAACAGTGATGGAGCCTGACTCCGAGGCCAGGGGTGGTGAAGGGGAGGTGACCGTACGCATGGTCGAAAACAACATTTTTCAGGCGGGACTTGATGAAGGGGAGAGAGGGTCAAGGAGGAGGGATTGAGGGGGAGTGGTCCACAATTTCGGGGCGTAGTGGCTGAAAGCGTGACCTCCAATGGTGGAGCGGAAGTGCAAGGGACAAGTAGGAGACCGGTGCCAGTTGAGCTGAAGCACTGAGTGGTGGAGGTCGAAGAGATTGTGTAGAGGGGAGTTTCCTGGTATCCTGGCCGACAATGCTACCCACCCACCACCGCCCCCAATAAAAACGATCTCTCACTCCGTGAGTGTTTGTGGGACGTTGCTGTGTGCAAATTGGTGGCCACCTACACCCATAAAATACAGTTACAAATGCACAATACACACATCCACACAGCTACAAAAATATCAAATGCAAGAGTTGTTAGGATGTCATTGAATTTATGGCCTCAGCATTGGATTATGGCAAGGTTCCCACATTCTGACCTTGCTCTGTGTAATGACAAGTCTCTGCCATTCCTCAGTTTTCAGTATAACACTGAAACTCCTGCCAGCCACGGTTTCCGTTGGCCTTTAATATCCGAGTCTGCCACAACCGATTGCCGCAGCCTTGCACGTGGCACAATTACTTTACTTCAATATTGCTTTGTCCTCCTTAATTTGCTAATGTGCAGCAGGAGCCCAGGGTAAGTCAGTGACACCATAGGGTGTTTCTGAGTGACAGCTGCCATTTCTCACTTGTGTTGCCTTGCCAATGCCAAAGTCTATGCCGCTTATTTCAAGATTCGAACACTCACCTACTAATCACTGATGCCTTGCACTACCTCTCCATCCTCCTTGTGGGGGGAGGGAGGGGGGTTAACGGGGTCTCCTTGGAGCTGAACTGGATCCAAGGTGACATGCTCGTCAATGAATGTCGGAATCGAGCCAGTCCTCTGTGGCGGTCTCGGTAATCCCATTCCTGAGCCAGGTGGGTCCGCAGTATTCCAGGGCACTGCTGATGACAGCACAGGCAGTCTGGCTCATTGGCAGGACCTGGAAGGGCAGACCAGTCACTGGAGGCAGGGAGTCATCCCACGCAGTTCCTGTTAACCCTGCAAGCCAGCCCTAACAGGTAGGGTGGTCCTGGCTGGACAAGCAGCGAGAAAGCTTGCAGGACAGCAATATCAATGGTAAGCTATGTAGTTTTAGCATGTCCCACACAGCCTCTACCCAACAATCAACCCGTCCTCACCTGGCTCAACTGCTCTGGCCCCCAGGGGGTCAACAATAATACCCCCTAATACTCCCACCCCTTTCACAACCCCCCACACCCTCGCCCACTCCCAATCTCTGATATGTCTTGCACAACGTGTCCTCAAACTCAGACCTACTGCATGTCCCTTGCTCCTTCTGACATAAGAAATGCTAGACGAAGAAAGACCAAGGTCCATCTAGTTCGCCTTTCACCTTCCTGGTGGTCGCATGCACATATGTCCCAATCTACCTATGTACTCTATCCCTAATATTATTTACTAAAAGAAAACTATCTAATTTGTGTTTAAAAGAATCAACATTTCCTGCTTCAACCATCTCCCAAGGGAGCCTGTTTTACAGGTTCACTATTCGCTCACTGAAGTAGTGTTTGCGTAGATTAGTTCTGAATTTAGTCCGCTGCAATCGCAGGCCGTGTCCTCTGCTTTTACTATTCTGGACAAGTTGAAACAACCTGTCGTGATCTATATTGTCTTGTCCCTTTAGAATCTTAAAGACAGCAATCATGTCGCCTCTCAATCTTCTTTTGTCCAGCGTGAACATGCCCAATTTACTTAGTCGCTCCTCATAGACCAGTCCCTCCACTGACCTTACATTGGTTTACACTGCACCTTTCACACCAATTATTTATGTTCTCCAGAACCCTCACAATCCCTGTGACTCATTCCCAGTCCCTGAAAAACCTTTGCCAACCTCAGCCTACATCTTTGAAAGTGTCTTTGAACTCTATCTTGCTCGGTACCCTATACCATCTCTATGAGGCACATCGGGAGGTGTTCCTACGTGAAAGACATTGTATAAATATAAATTATTGGCGTGAAAGGAACTGCATAAACATAAATTATTGGTGTGAAAGGCACTGTATAATTATTGGTGTGAAAAGCACTGTCTAAATGTAAATTATTGGTGTGAAAGGCAACGTATAAACATAAATTATTGGTGTGAAAGGCGCTGTATAATTATTTGTGTGAAAGGCACTGTCTAAATGTAAATTATTGGTGTGAAAGGCACTGTATGAATGTAAACTATTGGTGTGAAAGGCATTTTATAAATATAAATGATTTGTGTGAAAGGCACTGTATAAATGTAAATTATGGGTGTGAAAGTCGCTGTAGTAATGTGAATTATTGGCGTGAAAGGCACTGTAAAAATGCCACTTGTCGTTTCGTTGCTTGCCCGCTGTTTCTCTAAGTGACCAAGTCGACACAAACCCTGGTGTTCTCCGCACCTGAAATCGTATCAAGCATCGCTGTTTATCTTTTGCCGTGTCCTCCCATGCCCAGTGCACCTTTGAGAGGAGATCTGTCACATGGATTTGACTGTGTCTTTGACACCGCGTAGCCGAGCGGGATGGATTATTTTATCAGCCCTTCCAAATAGGTGATGGTATAGATCTTTCAGAATGTATTAAACGTGTCATCCAATCCTCCCTTATTGTCGGATGTTAGACTTGACATGGATCAATATGATCTGGGGCTAGATTTCTGAATGTGACTAAATATGTTAACATCACGGCTGCAGATCAATATTGAGTTTTATCGTGAAGTTAGCCATTGCTGGGTTTATCTATAAGCTTTTGTCTTCCTTTGCCTGAGTATTTTTTTGTTGAGTATCACGCTGGACAATGCTTAAAGAAATTCTTTTCCCCTTTCCCCTGTGCTCGTCGCCTCCCTCCCTCACTCTCCCGCTGCCTGAACACATTACCGAGAACACATTTTAGGTAATGAACATAAATTGACCTAGTTCAGAATTAATGGAAACGAGGGGTTTGCAAAAAAAAAGTCAATTGAGAGGTGATCGCAAAATTGACTTACGCTACGATACACCCAATAATAAATGGGTTTCTTAGAAAGAGCCACCGCCTTTTACAGAAAAGCCTTTCTCCTGTCTGAGGTCCTTGATAGAAAAGAGCACATTTGCAAAATGGACACAAATGGTTTGATGCCAATCAATGTGATTACTGGGGCTTGCTTTCTTGTCAACCCGCAGGGGCTAAAGACTTCTGCAATCCTCTCTCTAGACTCGGCAAAGAGAGAAGACAGCGCGCGTGAGCAGGAGGCCAGCATCCGCAGGGCCTAAAGACTTCCGCAAATCATAATCCTTACATTTGATACAGTGCCTTTCACATCAGGAGGAGATCTTAATGTGCTTCACGGGATATACTGTAAATGGGGAATGGGATTGGAGTAGAGAACTCCAGTGGGTGAGTGAGCATCAGCACAGCCATGGTGGGGAGAGAGTAGGGAATGGGATTAGAGTAGAGAGCTCCAGTGGGAGAGCAAGCACCATCCTGGACACTGAGTTGAGCTGTGAGTGACTGATTCCTCGCTGCTTGTGTGTCTGGCAGATGCTGACCGAACACAGAAACACGGGATGGATGAGTTCCTGGCGGCTGACCCCAGCCGCTTTGATCACGCCGCCCTGTTTGAAATGCTTCAGAGACGAACCTTGGAGCACCGGCTGAACGACTCCTACTCCTGCCTGGTGGGTGATCAGAGACTGGGGGTGGGGGGAATGGAATGGGTACTGGGAGGACCAAATGCTCATCCAGAAAACCATTACAGAGGGCAATGTTGTGATACTTCTGTCTCAGCCTGGCTAAGTTAGTAACACTCTCCTCTGAGCCAGAAGGTTATGGTTTCCAATGCTGGGGGAGTGCTGCATTGTCAGAGGTGCCAGCCTTCTGATCCGGACAGATTGCAGTTAAACCAAGGTCCCATCTGTGCCTGTTCAGGTGGATGTTAATCATTCTGTGGCGCTGTTGGCAAAGAGAAGGGAGTTTCTCTCTCCTGGTGTCCTGGCTGACAATCCCCCAGATAAAATTGGTTACTCACTTCATGGTTGTGCTGTGTGCAAGTTGTTAAGTACTGTGGGATGTTTACAGCAAAGAGAATATTCTCCACACTAATCGGCACCAACCTCAGTGTGGATAAGCAGACAATGCAGATAAATTGGACATAATGCAAATTATACACTAACTGTAGTGCAAGCTAAAAATCAAGGGGCTTATATGGTCACTGTCATACCTCACTGCCAGCCCATCTTTCTCTGTGCCATTCTCAGTCTCTCTGTCCCTTTGTCTGTCGTCTGTCTGTCTGTCTGTTTGTCTGTCTGTCTCTGTCATCCTCTTTCTCTTTGTCTGTCTCTTTTTGCCACACTCTCTCTCTGTACCCCTCTCTCTCTCTTCCTCCCTTGCTCTTACTCTCTTTTCTCTTTCTGCTCCTCTTGCCCTCTTTCACTCTCTGCCAATCTCTCACTACATTTCTTTTCTAATGCTCTCTTTCTATTTCTCTGCCACTCTCTCCCACTCTTACATTTCTCTCTGCTTTCGCTTTATCAATTGTTCCTCTCTCTTTTTATCCCTCTCTGTTGTTCTCCCTCTCTCTCCTCTCTCCCATTCTCTATGTCTTTCTCTCTCATGTCTCTCAGTCACTCAGGTCCTTTTTGTGCTTGTTCAGGTGGATGTTAAAAATCCCGCGGCGCTATTCGGAAACAGAAGGGAGTTTATCTCTCCTGGTATCCTGACTGACAAAACCCTTGATAAAATTGGCCATTCAATTCCTGTGAGGAGGGAGGGGTTTTCTCGGCCGGTGGAAAGACATAGAGTAAGATGTCCGCACGTGGATGGTCCAGGTAGCTGCGGTGCTCGGGGGGTGGGGGGAAGCATTTCCCTTCGGATTTTCCCACTCGGAAAGTGGCCGGACTGAGAGGTGGGAGCAGATGGAGAATGGGCTGGGAGTCCCAGCAGCCAGCCATGTGCATTGTGTGGCCGCTTAGCTTCCATGTACAGGAGTGCCCCAGGCAGGCAGATGGTGATGAGTGAGTTAGCAGCTAGCAATTGTCACGTTTCATAAATTGCTTATCTTTCCATCAATGGAACCCCAAGGGAGGAAATCTTTTCTGTCTCTTCACCCATCCCCGCCACTACCACTGTTGAGATTCACAGCCGTGCTGTCTCTCAAAACAAGCTCCGTTTCTAAGCCGGAGGGAAGGGGAGTGCTGGGTGCAGAGGCTGAGTTTACCTCTCGCTCCTCACTTTCCCAGTCACTGAACAGAGGCCTAGAGGTCAGAAGGAAGCTGGAGATTTGCACATGTGTCCCTCCCCTTGTGCCATGTGTGTGCCTCACGTGCACATCGGTCATGCTCACATGATCCTCAACATGTGCCTCATATGTGCCTTACACCCCCGCTGATGAGCCAGGCTGGGCTCTCATCATCAGTGCCCTAGAGTACTCTGCGGACCCACCTGGCTCAGGAACCGGACTACAGATTCCCCCACGGGGGATAGTGATAAGTTGGAGAGAGCTGAACAGTGCGATTAATAAAAAAGGACACGGGCATCAGAGATACGATGGGTTGATTGAGCTTGCATGCCTGGTAAACATTTGAGAAGCGGGGATCAGGACTCTGCTGAATGGCAACCAATTTCCATTGCGTTTTCATGGCAGATTCAATAGGCGGAGAGATTCAAAGAGCCTTTTAAATGGGCCATCACTCGCCTTTGTCTCGCCCACAACAATAAGCTGCACTTACACACAAAGCGCTCTATCTCAGCCTTTACTTCAATCTCTCTCCCAGTAAAGCCAATAATTTAAAGGTCCCCTTTACCTGGTGTAAAAACGAGGGCAAGAGTTTACATGAGATTGAGCATTTCCACACAAATTTTACAGGATTTCACAGGCACTTCATAGGATTTACTGTGTTTCAGAGGTGAATGCACCAGCGAATTTGCACACAGCAACGTCCCACAAACAGCCATGAAGAGAGTGACTGATTTTATCTAGGGGATTGTCGGCCCGGATACCGGGAGAGAGAAACTCCCTTGTCTTTTCCAATAGAGCCGCGGGCTCTTTAACATCCACCAGAACAGGCGGTTGAATGTCTCATCCAAAGATGGCGCCTTTGACAATGCAGCACTGCACTAGTGTATCAGCCTGGACTGAGCTCAAAGTCCCCAACGTAGGGGCTTGAACCCACAACCTTCTGACTAGGGTGCGAGAGACTGAGCCAGTATAAATGACTGACACCATTAATAATGGGACAGAGAGGGCAGGGGATCCTCAGAGTTAGCCGAGCGGAGAGAGCGAATGGAGGTGGGGTAGGAGGAGATAAGAGAGATGGTGGGGGAGGGAGGTGCTAGGGGATGGAGGGATTTTAGTTGAGAATGAGGAGTGTGAAATGCATCTGTTGGGAGCCAGTGGAGCACAACAAAAACTGAGACGATGGGCGTGTGGAGGTTAGAGTTTGCAGAGGCAAGGAGTGTGGGTGCGGAGAATTAAAGACAGGCTAATTAAGATGGCTTGTCTTGGGTATAATGGTATAGCAAGGACACGGTAAGCAAGCGATGCAGTGTGTGCACAATGCTGAGGACGGCTTGCCATCTTGGATATTGAATTTTTGACCCAGCGCAGCTCTTATTGAAGAAGCAGACAATCAACTTTCGGCAGACAATGAATGGAGCAACAGAATACCTTCGCTCCTCGCTCACCAAGGGCAGCCAACTAGCAGCCCGATTCCTACAATCGTTTCTGTGCAAAAAACTGAATTGCAAACCTTTTAGATTTTAAGTTTAAGGGTAGGCGATTGAGCAAGCGAGGTGTTAATTGACTGAGAAACTAGAAAGGAGGTTGTTCAAAGCACTCTGCGCGCCCCACTTCCACCTGTTTTTCTACCCCACCCGCTTTTCACATTAAGAGTGGGTGGTGTGGAGTTTGTGGGTGAAACATGGCAGCCGATTTACACACAACGACACCTCTGACAAGGCAGCTCTCCCCCAGCACCGCATTGCAGTGTTAGCCTACACTGTGAGCTCAAAGCCCCTGACGTGGGAAATGAACTCAGAGGTGAGAGGGCGAGGGACTGAGAGGTGATGTGTTTAATGCTCTCTGCTTGCTCCTAGGGTTGGTTTAGCCCCGGACAGGTGTTCGTTCTGGATGAGTATTGCTCCCGCTATGGCGTGCGAGGCTGCCATCGCCATCTCTGCTACCTCAAGGAGCTGATCGACCGTGCGGAACGTGGCACAATGATTGACCCAACCCTGCTGCACTATAGCTTCGCGTTCTGCGCCTCGCACGTGCATGGCAACAGGTATCAACACGCACTGACCAGTCCAGAAACTCCGCACTGAGAAAGATCAAAAACTAGGAATAATGCATGCATTTAATACAACAGCAATGAGTATCTATGTACAATAACAAATTGCATTTATATTGGGGCCATTCACGTTGGGAGGACGTCCCAAGGCACTGGACAGTCAAGGATTTGGACTCGAGCAACGGGTTGGGATCAGAGAGGGATGGAGGGCAATGGGGTTGTGGTGTGGATGAGATGATGACCGAAGGCAGGGCCGAAAAGTAAGGTCTTGAAAAGGATGGGGGGGTGAGGTGGGGGGGGGGTTGCATTGTAGAGATGCGGTATTCCGGATGAGATGTTAAACTGAGGTCCCGTCTACCTGTTCAGGTGGATGTTAAAGATCCCATGATGCAGTTTGAAAAGAGAAGGGAATTTTTCTCCCCTGGTGTCCCTGGACAACAATCCCCCAAATAAAATTGGTGACTCACTCCATGACTGTGGTACATTGCTATGCGCAATTAGTCTGCCACATTTACCTTCAAATGCACGGTCACACCATTTCACAGCAAAACAGTTTGAGAAGTCCTTCCGATGTGATAAAGCACTATATCAAATGCAAGGATTATTATTTATTTCATATATGTAAAAAAAGCTTTGCCCTACAAATTGGATCTGCTTAATTTTGTGAAGAAAATGGGGCCGGCCATTTCGTGTGGAGGATTATTCTCCTTAAAAGGCTCATGTTCTCACAGTTTCCATTGCAACAAGCTGGGTCTGATTATAGGACATGACAGCGAGTCTCTGAGCTGAAGGCAAACAGCATGGAAGGGGTGACAGGCTCTGCCAGGCTGATGGAGACGTGTTCAGGCACAGGTTGTCAGCGTTGACATCTGTCTGCCTCTTACCTTTCTCACCTGTCACCTCATGTTGGCCTCCATGTTCTCTCATCAGCTGTGCCTCAGCACTGGTCACGCCACACATCGTGTCTCTCTGTGACAGAGCTCAACAGTGACTGTCATTCCCTTTGACAAGCCTTGTGCACACTATACCTGTGTTTCCTGTCAATGAGGTGACGGGAGCTGACACTCTGCCCAGTGAGGGAGCAGCAGACCATGTTTGCTCACTCGTGCTCGCTTGTTTAAAATTGTTTTGACGTAACGCTTATCTCGAACCCTCCCGCTCCCATACAATCACTCACTTTGTGGCTTCGCCCATGTCAATCATTGTTCACCGGCCAAGGTCTGCAGCTCTCGCCCTGCTCTTATTAAACCATCTAGGCCCAGCTACCACACACAGGCTTGTGTTTGTATCACTGTCACCGGTTAACCCGTTCTGACCTTCCAATGCCAACGATCTCACTTTCTTCCAGTCGCTTCCCACCACCACCCATTTGTGGCTGTCCCTTCAGTTTCTACCCCCTAACCTCTGTCACTCCCTTCCTCTACCCCTCCTTCCCACCTCCCCCTTTCTGCCTTTAAATCTTGTCTCAAATCCCAGCTCTTGAAACACGCCTATGACCACCAAGTTGTTGTGTTGTTTCCCGTGTTCTATCTGGATAATCACCAAAGACTTTGAGGTCACAAATGCTGATGCTTCAGTCCAATGTTGGGGGAGCGCTGCATTGTCAGAGGCCATATCATTTGGATCAGGCATTAAACCGAGGTCCCATCTGTGCCTGTTCAGGTGGACGTTAAAGATCCTGTGGCGCTATTGGAAAAGAGAAGAGAGTTTCTCTCTCCCGGTGTCCTGTTCGCCATTCCCCCATAAAAAATCGCTCACTCACTTCATGGCTGTTTGTGGGACATTGCTATGTGGAAATTGGCTGCTACATTCGCCTAAAAAATACATGGTCGCTATACTTTACAGTAAATCCTATGAAGAGCTTTAAGATGTTCTCCTGATGTTGTTAAAATCTTGGAGGAAGTAGAGCCCCAAGGAATCCGGCTTACCACTCCCCACTCCCCCACCCACCCCCAACAGAGATCCAGAGAGTTGTGCCAGTTTTCAATGAGATTGAGTGGTTGAGTTATTAAGTTCCTGACTACTTTCCTATAAGGAGGAGGCCGGCAAGAGACATGGGGTACTTTAACAGTCACTTTCTGTCCTTTTCACAGGCCTGATGGAATTGGAACGGTCACGGTGGAAGAGAAGGAAAAGTTTGATGACATTAAAGACCGTCTTCTGCTTTTGCTCGAAAACCAGATCAGTCACTTCAGGTACCTCTGCTGTGTCCACCCTGTGTTTTGACTGTAGCCCACCTCTGGACTTGGCACCTGTGCCTATCTGATTCAAATCGCTCATTCACTTCACAGCCACTTGTGGGGACACACAAACGGGCTGTTGCGATCAGCAAGAAAACACGCAGTCACTGCGCTTTACAGTAAATTCGTGAAGCATTTTGAGATGTCCTCCCAATGTGAAAGGCGCTGTGATCAGATGCACAAACGTGAGTCTCTTCACTCTCGCCTCTGAGTCAGAAGGTGATAAGTTCAAGCTCCACATCGGGACTTAGAATTACATAGACTAAGCTGACACTCCAATGCAGCCCTGGGGGTGTGATGCATTGTTGGATGTGCCATTCTTCAAATGAGAGATGAAAACTGAGGTCCCATCTGCCTCTTTAGGTGGATGTTAAAGATCCCATGGCACTATTCCAAAAGTGAAGGGAGTTTCTATATCCTGGAGCCCTAGCCAACAATTCCCCCAAATAAAATAGGTTACTCACTTCATGGCTGTTTGTGGGACATTGCTGGGCGCAACTGGCTTCTGCGTTTCATCCATGAAACACACAAAATTTACACTGTATCTTGTGAAGCACTTTGAGATGTCTCAAATGATATGATAAGGCATTATATCAAACACAAAATTTATAGTGTATCCTGTGAAACGTTTTGAGATGCCTCAATGATGTGATAAAGCGCCATATGAAATGTAAGGAATATTTTTATTGCTATCATCACCTTGAACTTTGAGATCAAATGGTCTCACTGGGAAGATTGTCAAGCATAATGTATGTCTGAGCGTTTCAAAATTGGATTAATCTTGCACTGCAAAAGCTCTCTGCAAGACAGACACAAAGGAATACTGGACAATGGTCCATAGCAACCGTTGACTGCACTTTACATTGTGCACATACAGAAAAGACTGAAGTGCCCTGATGTGACCATTATGGGAGGCATCAGCAAGGAAACACATAATGTAAGGATATGACTATGATGGGAGCCTCACTGCGAGCGATGGTGTGCGTGTGTGCTGGCCAGTGCTAGGGGAGAACAGCGTGGGCTCCACACCTGTCACAAGCTTCTCTAACTCCTTCCTAACTTGTTGCCCAGGTACTGCTTTCCCTTTGGACGACCAGAAGGGGCATTGAAAGCCACCCTTTCACTGCTGGAAAGGGTACGTCTGATAAAATGGCCTCTTTGTTCCTTATTTGTCTCAGAGGGATTGAGGGAGAGTTTCAAAGTTTTGGGGCAAACTGGCTGAAAGCAGGGTCACTGATGGTGCAGCAGCAGGGGAGAGCGACAAGTAAGAGGCCCAAGCCAGCTGAGCAGAGTGGACAGGTGGTGGAATAAGGGGGTCAGAGAGGTAGGGAGGTGCCAGGGTGTGAAGGGATTTGTAGATGAATGTCAACAACAACTTGCATTTGCACAATTCCCTACACGTATCTGTATCTCAGAACATTGTACAGAGGTGCGAACGAGCGCCAAGTGAGGGAGAGGAGAGAGGGGTCATAGGCGTGGTCAGAGGTAGATTTTCAGGTGGGATAAAGAAAGAGCAAGTAGAGTAGAGGGCTTCATACAACGATTTCCAGAGATTTAGGGGTAGAGTGGCGCTGAAGGCACAGCCACCAATGGTGGCATGGAGAGGTCAGGGGACATGCAGCAAGTCTGTGTTCAAGGGACATAGAGAGGGCAGGTAGAGGTGTGTGATTGGAAGGTGTGAGGTTATGAAGGGATTTATCATTCAGGGTGAGATCCTGGAAGTTGATCCCTTGGGAGTCAGGGAGCCAGTGGAGCCAGTGAGGACTGGAGTCCTGTAGCTCAGTGGTTAGAGCAATCGCTTTGCAAGCGAGAGACCTGAGTTCAATTCCAGGCAGGTCAGGGCGAAACCTTGGGCAAGTTTCCTTACTCCACACACCTAATAATAATCCCTCCAAAACACCAAAAACAATAATAAAATTGGTCATTTTCAATCTACGACTGTCTGTGGGACATTGCTGTGCGCAATTGGCTGCCGCGTTCGCCCACAAATATACAGTCAATTCACTTTACAGTGTGTTCTGTGAAGCGCTTTGGGACGTCCTCCCGACGTGAAAAGCGCTATATTAAATGCAAGGATTATTATTATTATTATTATGGAGGTGCAGAGTTTGGTGTGGTTGGGAGGAGGATGTGGACTGTGAAGTTTTGGATTAGCCGAACCTTGTAACCGGAGAAACCAGCGAAGGGTGGGTGTGGTTGAGGGAGGTGTAAGAGGTAAGGTTAGAGGTGACTGACTTTTGTTTTGGGGGCAGGTTCTCATGAAGGATATCTCCACACCTGTGCCCCCTGAGGATGTGAAGAACATGGTGAGGAAGTGCCTGGAGAAAGCTGCTTTCATCAATTACTCTCACCTCTCCGACTATGCCAAGATCGAAGGTCAGTACAAGTTATGTGGGTTTAGCTGGTTAGACTCCAGCAGTTATCCCAATGCACACTCTGGGGTCCCCAAACCTTGGTTCTCGCCAACCTGCGCCTAACACATTTTCAGGGACTGTGTAAACAGGGTGCCTCCCTCCAGGGAGAGAGTGCACATTCCTTTCCAGATACAGGAAAATCCCTGTGTGTAGGAATCATACATATGTGCGACTCACTGTCATTTGGAGACTCTAAAACACCATGATGAATTTCTGTGTGTGTTGGACACCTGGCTGATCATGTGATGTGTTTCCACCTGTGTTAGATACCCGACTGATCACGGTGATGCGTTTCCACATGTGTTAGACATCTGGCTGATCACAGTGATAGTTTTCTGCATGGTGTCAGATACGCAGCTGATCCTGGTGATGGATTTCTGTGTGTATCAGACACTTGCTCACTCTGTTTTTTATGCTAGTTAAGAAAAAGAATGTGGTCGGTCAATGCCTGATGCTCGCTTCTCAACGAATCAGCGTTGCTCAAGAACAATAAATCCTTTGAGTTGTCCTCCCAAAGTGCATTGTAAAAGCCTCCCTCACTCACCTCAGTAACAATCAGCACTGCTCCCACTGGGCTGTAACGCGCTTGGGTGCTCCCGTGGGAAAAAAGCAGTTTTAAAGCAGAGCAACTCAGATCGTTGCCAGCGTGTCTGATGCTGTATCACTCTCATCTCTGAGTCAGACAGTTGTGGTTTGAAGTCCCATGTCAGGGACTTTGAGCTCATGGACTTGGCTGACACTCCAGTGCAGTGCTGGGGGGAATGCCGCATTGACAGAGATGCCATCCTTAGGACGTTAAACCGAGGTCCTGTCTCTGCCTGTTCAGGTGGATGTTAAAGATCCCGCAGTGTTATCAGAAACGAGAAGGGAGTTTCTCTCTTCCCGGTGTCCTGACCAACAATCCCCTAGATAAAATCACTCACTTCATGACTGTTTGTGGGGCATTGCTGGGTCATGTTAGCTTATAAACACACAGTCACTACACTTGATAGTGATTCCCTGTGTAGTGCTTTGAGATGTTTCAGAATTGACGGTAGTGCTAGGAAATGCAACGAGAATGCTAGTGTAACTCCATTTCTGGAGGATAAACATTAGTAGCGGTTTCTCATACCTGGTGCTCCCAAGACCTTGACCTTCAGTCACTCTGCTGTGTGTTTGTTACCAGGAAGGGGTACTCATTCAGAGACTATAAAGAGCTGCTCAGGCCAGTGATGGCGATCTTACACTCAGAATGTGGTCATGTAAAGGTGCACACGTCTCCGGGTAAATATGTATATGTCCCCAGGTAAATGGGTACACATTCACATTATAATCCACCAGATAAAATTGGTTGCTCACTTCATGGCTGTTAGTGAGTACGTTGTTGTATGTAAATTGGCTCCTGGGTTTGCATACCAAATACACAGAAATTGCATTTCAGTGAATTCCTGTGAAGTGCATTAAGATATCTGAGAGGCATGATAAGGCGCTGTGTCAGTGATACGTGACACAGGCTGCTGGGTCTGGGATCCAGATGTGACGAGGTCTGGAGCTAATGGGGGCTCAATACAATATGGCAAAGAGCGTTTTCCTCCTGAGCTGCTGTGCCTACGTTTCAGGACTTTGCCTTTCCATTCATCTCTTCACTAACTATGTGTGTGTGTATGTATGTGCTTGCGTATCTGTGTGCCTGAATGTGTGTATGACTGGGTGTGTGTGTGTCTGCGTGTGTGTGCCTGGTGTGTGAATCTATGTGTGTCCGTATGTGTGCCTGTGTATGTCTGTTTGTGTGTGCCTATGTGTGTGTGCCTGTTTGTGTGTATGCCTGTGTGTGTTTGTGGTGTCTGTTTGTGTGTGTGTGTGGTGTCTGTGTGTGTGAATATGTATGCTTGTATGTATATATATGTGTGTATACGTCTGAGTGAACATATGTGTCCGTGTATGACTGTGTGAATACGTGTATGATTGTGAGAAAGTGTATGAGCGTGTGCCTGACCACTTTGCTCTAACCCTGCACACAGCGCTGCAGTCCCCCAGGCCCAGACCAGCTCCCGGGCCAATCGTTCCGAGCAAATGGCAGACTGGCGGTGCACCCGAACAGAAGCTGAGCGGCACAGCCACAGCCAACCCAAGTACCGTACTCGTGCTTGTTGCTGTGTGACGCTAGCTCGCCCACGCTAAGGGTCTGCTTCTTGTTTGTTGGTTTGTCAGTTTGCTTGTTTGTTTGACTTGCACATCTATCGCTGCACGCTCACAGCCTCTGTGATTTGCATGTGATCGCAACCAGCTCACAGAGGCTCGTGATCTTACCGCACTCTCACAGCTCATGGCAGAGAGCACAATTCTGATCTCCATCCCACATCTGTGGCAGGTGACACAAATCTCCGGCATTCGGATGAGACAAGGCTTTGTCTGCCTGTTCAGGTGGACGTTAAAGATATCGCGGCACTATTCGAAAAGAGAAGAGAGTTTCTCTCTCCAGGTGTCTTGGCCAACAATCCCCAAATACAAATCGGTCACTCACTCCATGGACTGTTTGTGAGACATTGCTGTATGGAAGTGACTGCCACATTTTTCTCCCAAAATACACAGTCAGTCCACTTTACAATATGTTATGTAAACCGCTTAGAGACATCTCAATGACTTGATAAGGCACTATATCAAATGTAAGGATTATTATTATTATTGTTACCACCTTTCAGATTCATTCTAACAACTTCTGTACTCTTTCTAACCCCCATACCCCCACCCGCACATTGCAGATCATCTCAGTCACCAGCACTCTCGCCTCTGAGTCAGGGGGTTTTGGATTCAAGCCCCATTTGGGGGAATTTGAGCTCACATCCCAGTCTGATGCTCCAACACAGTTCTGTGGGGGAATGCTGCATTGTCAGAGATGTCATCCTTCGGATAACACGTAAATCAAGCTCCCCGTCAGTGCCTATTCAGGTGGACATTCATCTACAAAATACACAGTCGCTCCACTTCACATTGAATTCTTTGAAGCACTTTGAGACGTCCTCTTGGTGTGAAAGAAGCTGGATTATTATTGCTGTGTTAAAGACCCCAGGGGACTGTTCAAAAAGAGAAGCGAATTTCTCTTTGCAGGTGTCCTAGCGACAATCCCCTGAATAAAATCACTCACTCACTTCATGGTTGTTTGTGGGACATTGCTGTGTGTAAATTGCCCACAAAATACACAATCACTACACTTTACAGTGAAATCCATGTTTGTTGATGTTATTATTCTACTTTCCTGCTCAGCGCGCCAAGCTCAGGAGCCCTGGAGCATTGGATCTGATTTCTGGAAAATGGGAATATCCATCCCCAAAACTCTCTCCCAATAATCTTTCCTGAAAACAAGTCTGAAATGCACCCCCCCCCCCCCCCTCACTACTCCTCCCCCCATAAAAACTTCACAGGAATTTCTTCAAGTTAGGCCAGAGCACGAAACTCTCAGTCTGGACTGCAAATTCGGGCACGGGTTAACACAGACACCGGGTTGACCAAACAAAGAAAGTCAGACCTTTTCCCCAGTTTATGTCAGCGTAGCTTCCTCGCACACCAATTCAATGGTGTCCCCGATGTCTGGTTTGATGTGTGTCCGTGTGGCTTTGTGTCTTTTTGCATGCGGCCTGTGTTGCCATCGCCTGAAGCACACTGATGCACTGACGCTCCCTTTGTTTGGCCACCACCAGAGACGTTAAGCCAGGGGACGCCTGCCAAGAAACTGGAGGACACGATGCGCCTGGCGGAGCTTTGCATCGAGGCTTTTCAGCAGAATGAAGAGCACCACTCAGAGGTTAGGCTCTTCTCCGTTACTCTAACCACTGCAGCTTGTGGCTCGCTCCAATTTCCTGCAAGCAAAAGCCCCCCCCACTCCTTTGAGCTCACAGTTTAGGCTGATGCTCCAATGCAGTGCTGGGGGAAACCTGAATTGTCAGAGGTGCTGTCCTTTGTATGAAGCATTAAACTGAGGTTCCTTCTGTGCCTGTTCAGGTGGACATTAAAAATCCCACAGCGCAGTTGAATTAGCTGAGGTTTATCTACAGGAAGAGGTTACACTGGGCAGGAATTCCTGGAAACAGCCACTATACTGTGCAGGAATTACTGAGAATAGCCACTACACTGGGCAGGAATTACTGAGAACAGCCACTCCATTGGGCAGGAATTACTGGGAACAGTCACTACACTGGGCAGGAATTACTGGGTACATGGAAACACTGCGCTAGAATTACTAAAGACATCCTTGCCGCTGTGAAACCACTTGTTTGTTCTCTGTCTCAAGCATTCACTGTGCAGACAGACCACTCGCTCACTTTTGTTAACTTGGCTTTAAATCTTGGTTTCTTTTCGCCCTACTGACACTTCCACTCACACGGATTGGTGAAGGGAAGAGAGGTACGTGACCCGTTAGTATGAATCAGTGATTGATTGATTGATTGATTGATTGATTGATTGATTGATTGATTGATTGATTGATTGAGTGAGTGAGTGAGTGAGTGAGTGAGTGAGTGAGTGAGTGAGTGAGTGAGTGAGTGAGTGAGTGAGTGAGTGAGTGAGTGATGATTAGACATTTGCTGTGGTAAGTGTGGCTTGCATGCCATTTATTGACATTGAGGACAGCAGATGAGCTGTGGGTAACGAAAAACCTCTTGTTTTCTGTCCTGAAATTGCCTTTCACAACTCAGATAGAAAGACACTCACACACACTTTATAGTAAATCTTGAAATTCTCTTTGTAAACCCTCAACTACAAGGGTTATTCGTATTATTATTAATATTATAAATTTAGAACATGTTTATAATATGGCTTTTTTTTTACATGTTTTTCACCTTAATACTAATTGATTTGTTATATAAGTCTTTATATGTTTCAGCATGTTTTACCACGACTGTATTACATTTTAAAATGCCTTTGAGGCTTTTATGAGCTGCGTGTTTTAATGTCTTAATCGATATGTCCATGTTTTAATAAGAGAGTGATGCTTTTCGTGTTTTGACATGTCTGATGTATGTCATGTTTGAAATTGTGCTTTAACGTGTTTATTTCCAGGTCTCAGTAGGTGTAGTGCATTGTTCTGGAAAACATGCAGTCACTACACATCACAGCAAAACCCTGTGAAGTGCTTTTAGGTGTCTGGATGACTTAGGACGTGAAAGGCGCTATACAGTAAAACATGTATAAGTCCTATCTTTATAAATCATATAATCGTCTATGTCATACAGTCACCCAAGTCGCATTCAGTTCCCTTATCAAAACCACTCAGATTTCTTTGCACTACTTGTATTAATCATCTTCTAACTCGTAACACCGCTTCCCTATCCTCCATTATGCCCGCATTGATGGCTGCATTCAATCGCAGTAAATGACGTTTTTACCCGTCAATGTATGCGAAGGAGAATTTAATTTTACATGATTCAATGCAATTCCAATGCTTGCCGGGGCACAGGCAGCGTCAAATCAAGATGAATTGATTCGCAGGAAATGTAGTCGACCCGTTACTGCAGGTGCATTTACTGGCTGCATTAAAGTACGCATGCACAGTGTAAATTATTGATTGAATCGGATTTTATACAACTGATACAGTTTGCCTGCAACTCGGACTTCACGTAACAGCAAAACAAAATTATATTTGTAAAGCGCCTTTCATGTCAGGAGGACGTCCCAAAAGTAAGCCATAATTAAAATCCCGACTGACATGACTCATGTGAGTTTTACTGTATAAATACAATTTGCGCCCTTCATAAGTCTCGGAAGGCTTAACAGTGGCATAGATTGAGACTAAATGTATATTTTGCCCACAAAATGTACAGTAATTTCACTTGACAGTATATTCTGTGAAGCACTTTAAGATGTCTCGAAGACATGATAAGGCGCTATATCAAATGCAAGGATTATTATTATTATTAGATGTACTACAATGTTTTAATACATTTTAGAATGAATCGCCCATCAAAGTGCATTGGCTGTCTGTTGTCTCCTAGGCCTTTTCCTGGTGGCCAGATCTTATGACTGAACACGCCGAGATCTTCTGGTCTCTCTTCTCTGTGGACATGGACAGCACTCTACAAGGACAACCTCTGGACTCTTGGCAGAGCTTCCCTCTCTTTCAGATTCTCAACAATTACTTCAGGAACGAATGTGAGTGCTGCTCTCCCACGCACCCTCAAACACAAGGGTTATTCATATTATTAATATTATAAATTTAGAACAGTTCCCAGAAGAAAGTAGTTGAGGTCAATTTGCTTTGAAAAAAAAGTAATTTCTATAAATGATATTGTGTTCGTCTTGTGTAATTACTATTTAGATTCATTCTCTGGTTGGTGAGTCCGGAGAACATCAATTCCACATCATCACCAAAAAATAGACACACAGGGAGAGCTTAGAAGATATTATTCTACACACGTGGAGGGTTATTAGGACATGAAACTCTTGATTCGGAACTGATAATTGCATTTAAAAAGGAAATCAGCAAAATATCTACAAGGGAAAAAAACACGGGAGAGAAGTGAGACAGATACAGACATGATGGAGCAGCAAATTCTATTCTCAATAATTATTCGCATTAATAATGATAATCTTTGCATTTGATGGCACTCCTTTCAGGTCAGGAAGTCATGCTTCATAGATTTACTGTAATGTGTAGTGACTGGGTATTTGCTGGCTGCGCTAAACTCCTTACCCCATCACACCAGTCCTTATTCCACTCGCCTCTGTTTACCTCGCAGTAAGTAGAGACCCGGTGATTAGTCAATTGCCGATTACCTTCCGGGCGTAATAATGCTTCCAACAAAAAATTAAATGATAAAAAATTGGTCACTCAATCCATGGAGGACATTACTGTGAGTAATCGCCTGCCACATTTCACCCACAAAATATACAGTCAATCCACTTTACACAATATATCTCTGAAGCGTTTTGAGACATCTCAATGATGTGATAAGGCGTTATATCAAATGCAAGGATTATTACTAAAACCTACCTCCTCTGAGGACCTTCCTCTTCGACCGTGCTTACGGTCACCTCCCCATGGCTCTGTGTCAGGCTCCACCACTCTTAAGTGCTCCGAGACGCTACCCTACGTGAAGTGCCTATGTTAATACAGGCTGTTGTTGATTTTATTATTTATCTATTGGGTGTTGACATTGTGAAATTGGGAGTGAGGTAAAAATAATATAATAATAATCCTGGCCTTTGATACAGAGCTTTACCAGAATATTGAGATGTCTCAAAGTGCTTAGAAGCATAGAAACATTGGCCATTCAGCCCCTCAAGCCTGTTCCACTATTCTATAAGATCACTGCTGATCTGTACCCGTCATTGCCCCATATCCCTTAATAGCCTGACCTAACAAATAGCTATCTAACTTTACAGGATTTCCTGTAAAGTGTAGTGACTGTGTATCTTGTAGGCAAACACAGCAGACAATTTGTACACAGCATGGTCCCACAAACAACCATGAAGTGAGTGACTGATTTTATTTGATGATTGTCGGCCCAGACACCAGGAGAGAGAAATTCTCTTCCAGTAGTGCCATGGGATTGTTAACATCCACCTGGACAGGCACCATTTAACGTCTTATCCAAAGGACTTTGGTTTAACATCTCACCCAAAGGACAGTGCCTCTGACAATGCAGCACTTCCCCCAGCACAACACTGGACCATCAATGAGAGACTGTGAGCTCAAAGCCCCCAATGTGGGGCATGAATCCACAACCTTGTGGCTCAAACAGTGCAACCAGTTGAGCCAGGCTGAGACCTAGATTTGAGATATTTGTACAATACATGACGGTAGTTAAATTTCAGGGAGGTTTTTTTCTGTGGAAAGCTTCATTAAGGGTGAATATCACTGAATATCTGGATACAAGGGACAGTCCCATCCTATTGTTCATGTATCGTCATGGCTCCTTTCTGGGGAAATTTGAAGCAGTTAACTTTCGTGATCCTTAGGGTAAGGCAAAATTAAAATGGACAGAGGCATTAAAACGTAATGTGAAATTAAAATTACAGTTATTCTGATGCACAGAATTAATGCAGGCAATTAGCGTTTAGCCACGTTTTATAATTAAGCTTTGACAAACTGGGACTTTCTCATCAATCAAACTGGTCCCAAGTTCATTAAAGACCAATTATTCACAAGGTAACAATTAATAATAATCACAATAATGCTTGCATTTCATACAGAGCCTTTCACGTCAGTAGGACATCTCAAAGTTCTTCACAGTGACTGTTTTGTATGAATGCGCAGCAGACAATTTACGCGCAGCAGCGTCCCACAAATAGTCTGAGCCATGTGCAAGCCTGGCTCAGTCAGTAGTATTCTCGGATCTGAGTCAGATAGGTGTGGGTTTAAGCCCCATCTTGGGACTTGGAACTGATATAGTCTATACTAACGCTCCAAAGCAGTGCTGCATTGTCAGAGTTGCCATCCTATAGATGAGACGTTAAACCAAGGTCCTATCTGTGTCTGTTCAGGAGGACGTTAAAGATCCTGTGGCGCTATTGAAAAAGCGAAGGGAGTTTCTCTCTCCTGGTGTCCTGGCCAACAATCCCACAGATAAGATTAATCTCTTACTTCATGGCTGTTGTGGGGACGTGGCTGTGTGCAAATTGGCCTCCCCGTTCACCCAGAAAATGCACTTTACAGTAAGTCCTATCAAATGTGATTAGGTACTGTATCAAATATAAAGATTATTATTCCTGACAACCAAACTGGGTAATTGTCGTAGTTACCAAAAGAGGACAGTGTCAAACTGGTTTTGGGGAATTAAATGCAGTCAAACAACAGCTGCTGGAAGGCGTTACTGGAGTTCGTGAACAAATATTCTTATATCGAGCATTTGAACTCCACCCTGATTGGTTTGGAGAGAGGTAAGTAGTTGCTGCTTATGCTCCGGCTCTCCAATGGGAGGAAGGGATGTGTGTCTGAGGCTTGGATAGGAAGATGGTGGCAATGCTTTCATATATTTCATGCTGAGCTGTGTTGCCTACCGGGAAGTTCGCAGAAGTTCCTGGTACCTACCATCCACCTAGTGCGGGCTCAAACTTACTCTTGTCAGATGTCAAATGACCAACTAGTAACTATCCTCCAGAGTGGATGGGAGAATGTAAGCAGTTAGAGCTGAAGTGAGCTGAGAGCTCAGAGCTTAGACCTTATATCTTAAAACTGAACTGCCTCCAAGTGATATGCTTGGCAATGAAATGTCAGAATCGAGCAATCCCTCTGTGATGGTCTTTAGCCAATTGGTTCCTCAGTACTCCAGGGCACTGCTGATGACAGTCTGGCTCACTGCCGGGACTTGGAAGGGTAGGCCTCTCACTGAGGGCAGGGACTCTTCCCACTCAGCTTCTGTTAACCCTGCAAACCAAAGCCCTAATGGGTAGGGTGGTCCTAGCTAGACAAGCAGCGGGAAGCTTGCCAGATAGTAATCTCAATGGAAAGCCATGCAGTTGTAGCTGGTTAGACTCCAGCAGTTATCCCAGAGCCTTGACTCTTCGCAACCTGTGCCAAATACTCTCCGGGAATTAAGCAAGCAGGATGCATCCCTCGAGGGAGAGAGTGCGCATTCCAATCCAGCCACAGGGAAATTTCTATGAGTATGTGGTGTACAAATGTTGAATCTCAGTCTGGTTTGGATACTCTGGTGATGTTTCTCTGTGTGTAGTTAGATCATCAACAAGTTTCATTCATGTAACACATTATACTCTAGTGCTCAGCAGAGGAGAGCAACAAGGATGATCCCCAGTCCTAGAGGAATGAGCAACAATTGACAAGCTAGGGCTCCTTAATCTTGAGATAATATGACTTAGATGAGACTTCATAGAGGTATATAAAATGTTAAACGGGATTGAAAAGGTAAACCCAGATCAATACTTTAGCACGCACTCAGACATAGAACAAGACAACACAGGTTTGTAAAGAATTGTAAAGGGAAACTTCAGGACAGATATTAGGAGGTTTTTCTTCACCAACAGATAATTGACAACTGGAACAGGGTTCCAGTAAGGATGGTTGAGGCCAGGACACTGGGACTCGTTTAAAAAGCAGCTCGATGCTGTGATGGGATACCGGTTGGACAGGCAATGGGGAGGGATGGGGCAAAGGACCTCCCTTAACCAAATCAGCCTTGTGACATAGCAAATGCCAATAAAGATCCATGAATGTTTCTCATGTTGCCAATAATTAGCTCACTATACAGAGAAGCTGCAATACCTGCCAGATGTGCGAAGTGTTCCTAGTCAGACATCTGTGCACAGAAACCTCATTGCACATAAATTAGCACTGTGGGCTCAGGTCCTGCATGCTGTCCTGCTAGGTGCTAGGTAATAAGCAAAACAGAGAAGGTGGAAACTGTGAGGAATCAATGAGCTTGTCTGTTAGCTCAGCAGTTATGATGGCATTGAGATTTACAACACAGAAAAAGGCCATTTCGACTATTGTGCCTTACAGATGAGACCAAGGCCCCATTTGTGCCTGTTCAGATGGACTTTAAACATCCCGCAGTGCTATATTATTATCATTATTGGAAAAGAAAAGGGAGTTTCTGACTCCCCACTGTCCCCAACAATTCCACCCACCCCCCCACCCCACTGAAGGGATGTTGCTGTGCGCAGATTGGCAGCTGCATTTCGCCCACAAAATACACAATCACAATAGCAGCAGCAACCACCACTTTATTTCTTTGTTCAGGGAAGCTAGACTTTATGGTAAAATCCTGTGAAGCGCTTCGAGGTGTCCTCCTGACGAGAAAGTCCCTCACGCTCGCCCAGGGCATTACTGTGCTTAATGCCGAGCTTTGGAAGCTGAGTTGGAGACACCGTGACTGGAGCTTTTTAGCCAAAGTATCCCTCGGCAGGTATGGCAGTTGCTATAATCACAGTGTCTCTTGTTGCCCACACAATAGTAATAGTTTCAGTCAAGAAAATTGGTTTTCTGACCGCACTTTGGTGTGCTTTTACTGTTTCATCTTGTCTGTCTTCAAGGACAACAAGGACCCAATGCAGGTTAAGCTTGTGGTGTATAAGACTTGTGAGCAACCAGTCCTTCTTTGTGGTTCTGAACTCCTGGGGATGCAACGGGAGAGGCTTCCTCCAATGCATTTGTAAAGTCCAGGATCAAGCATTGAGATGGTCATGTGGCAAATATAGGGAGCAGCTACAGGGAGGGAGAGTTCCTGCCAACACTGACCTATCACTAAGCACCGTAGAGGCAGAGCCTACCTCACAGTGTTTGCCAAAGCCCCTCACATGCGGACCTGTGAAGCGCTTTGGGAAGTCCTCTTGACATGAAAAGGCACTGTGTCACAGATGCCAGGATTATTTATTCATTAATGAATTTAATTCCCTCTGTTTCTCCTGAAGCCCATTTATGTAACGGGAAGTTTCACAATCACTTGCAAGAGAGTTTTGTCCCCCTGGTGGTGCGTTACATCGACCTGATGGAATCGGCCATCGCACAGTCTATCCACAAGGGCTTCGAACAAGAGGCGTGGCACCCAGTCAAGTGAGTGTTTCTCTGGTACAAAAACCATAACAGTCACCCTCGAGAAAGCGTGTGGGCGTGTGCGCAGGGTGGGGCACTCTTCAACAAAACAAGAGAGCAACATAGAATCTCAGGCTCCTTCATTATGCAGTCACAAGATCAGTCCGGATGAAGAAGACCCCTCAACCCATCTGATCTCATCCCTCCAGAACACCCACCTTACCAGCACCCCCATCACAGCATCAAGCTGCTTTTTAAATGAGTCCCAGTGTCCTAGTTTCAACCCACCCTTCCTGGGAACCCTGTGCCAACCGTTAGTTAATCTCTGGGTATAGAGGATCTTCCTGGTGTCTGTCCTGAAATTGCCTTTTACAAATCAGAATCCCTCACCTCTCCTCACTCTTTCCCTCCGTCCCTTGTTCCCTCCCTCTCTCATGCTCTCACTCCCTTGTTCTCTCACTCTCTCAATCTCTCTGTCACTCTCACTCCATCACTCCCTCACGTGCTCTTGCTCCCTCACTTCTTCCATGGGCGAATCTCTTCACCCTCTCTCATGAACTCGCTCCCTTGCCCCTCACTTAGATGAGTCTCCTCTCATTCCCTCACAGGGTGAAAGTCTCACTCCATTGCTACCCCACTCCCTCCCTCTCTCACTCCTTCAATCTCACTCAGTACCTCCCTTATTCCTCGTTCTCTCACTTCTCGCATAGGTGAGTCTCCTCTCACTTGCTCACTCGCTCACTCCGTCGCTCTCTGACCCCTCACTCCATCACCCCTCTGATGTGGAATCTGCTCTCACTGTGCCGTCCATACTCTGACATTGTCCTGATTCTCTTTCCTGCAGGAACCTGACCAATAACCTTGCTAACATGAGCCTACCCAAGGTCCCGAGCCTGCCTCTTAACCTGCCGCAAATGCCTAGCTTTTCCGCCCCCTTGTGGATGGCCTCTCTATCTGATTCCACGTGTGTATACACCAATTCATGAAGTGGCCGAGCTGCATGCCAGTGAAAGATTTGCATGATCTGCACATTTGCTTGTCTGCTGTATGTGTGTGTGTGTGTGCATGGTTGTTACAGTGATAACAATAATCCTTACATTTGATACAGTGCTATTCACGTCAGGAGGATGTCTCAAAGCACTACACAAGATTCACTGTAAGTGCAATGACTGTGTATTTTCTAGGCAAGCGCATCAGCCAATTCGCCCTCAGCAACGTCCCACAAACAGCCATGAAATGGATGGACAATTTTATCTGGGGAATTGTTAACTAGGACACCGGAAGAGATAAATTCCCTTCTCTTTTCCAAAGTGTTGCGGGATCTTTAACATCCACCTGAACAGGCACAAACAGGAGCTCGGTTTAACGTCGCATCTGAAGGGTGGCACCTCCGACAATGCAATGTTCTCCCTAGCACTGCACTAGAGCTTCAGCACACATAGAGGGAAGGGATTAGAGGGAATGGAGAAAGAGTAAGGCTTTGGGATTAGGATCAATGGCTTTTTGGAGATGATCCGAATAGCACTGTACTGGAGCATCAGCCTAGACTGTGAGCTCAAAGTCCCTGACTTTGGAGCTTGACCCACAACCTCCTGACTCAGAGGTGTGAGTGTGAGTGAGCCAACCGGACAGCTAAGGTCTCAGCATTTCCTGATCTCTCTTTTCAAAGTCGCTACTGCAGTATGGGTCCTAGAAACAGGTCCAAAGAGGTGACTATTTAGTTCTCCTGTTTAAGACATGATGTTGGCACAAAAAGCTTTGGGAACAGTGAGGGAGTGGTGAGAAATTGGCAGCGGGGTGTGCTGTTGCTGTACAGAAATGGGAAGCCTAAATCCTGTGCTAATTGTCTGGAAGCTGAAACCACACCACTGTTTTGTGGCTCAGTGCCTCTCTCTACAGCTGTTCCACATAATTACTGAGCTTAACGCAGCCACTTCCTGTACAGGAAGATCACTAATCAAAACAGTGTGGACAGCTTGCAGCGAGCTCTCCTCTACAACACAGAATGTGTACAGTGATTTACAATTTATCCCTCCATCCGACCAGTCCGCGCCGGGTTTTTTTGTGTTTCAGACACCCGCTGATCACCGTAATGGGTTTCCACATGAATCAGACAACCGGCTGATCACTGTGAGGAGTCTCCATGTGGGATAGACACCGTGCTGATCACGGTGATTGATTTTTGCATGTGTCAGACACCTGGGTGACAAAATAAACCGGAGATATTTGCACGGGATGCGGAGGCAGCTTTTTGGATGCTTCCAGGAGCCGCAGAAAGCTGGGTTCTCTAATTAAGCCCCTATTTCAGGTCTTTACCCAAATTCCGTATGGCATTGGTCTGAAACATCATAAGGGAGCGAGCGGTCCTGCGGGCTGAGACTGGGTAGAATTTTGTGTGGCCGGTTTGGCGCGAATGGTGGTCCCAAGATACCAACAGCCAAGCACGGCCCCGGCACTCTCCACAGTTTGCAGCGGACAGTGACTTCTGGCTGTTTCAGAGTATGGCATTGGCCGAACGTTAGCTGGCCCTGCTTTCTGCCATCCGACACCTTCAATCCGCCCCAAGCACAGCTCTCAGCTTGCACTGTCTCGTTGGGAGTTGACACCGCGGGTGTTTGAATGCGTGTGCAGATGCTCGCTGCGTTTCCTTTGTCTGCGCAGTTCCATGTTGTTTTGCAAGGTGTTTTGTTTTGCAAGCAAATTGATTGCTTTGTATTTAATTTAATTGCCGGGAATGTGCAACAGAGCCGAGCGCCGTCTGAGTGGGTGTGGGTTTAATTCTCAGGGGATTAAAGGTTTCTCAGGAAGCTCATTGTTTTTTGTACATGTGGCCATAGAAAACCAGGGTCGAACTCTTACCTTGCTGGTACAAAAGCTGGCACCTGGCAAAGGCAAGTTATTTTACCCACCAGTTGTCGCTCTCGATTGGAACGCAGTCAATGTCTCCGCCACCAGCCAGAGAATCCTGGACACTGGATTTCTAATAACACCAAGTCGGCAGCGCTCTTGCCTCTGAGTCAAGCCCACGTCGGATAGTCTCAACAGACCCATACAGTGCTAGGGGTGGGAGCACCCCTAGCACCACATTGTCGGATAAGATCTTAAACCGAGTTCCCCTTCTGTGCCTGTTCAGGTGGACGTTAAAGATACCACCCATAACACTGTGGAAAAGAGAAGCAAATTTCTCTCTCCCGGTTCCTGCCTGACATCCCCCAAATAAAATGGGTCACTTACTTCAGGGGGTTGTTGCTGTGCACAAATTGGCTGCTGCATTCACTTACAAAACACTCAATCACTACACTTTACGGTAAATGTGGAGTCCCATAGCGTAGTGGTTTAGCATGCTTGCCTTTGCAAGCATGCTAAGACCCGGATTCGAATCCCAGGTGGGGCGAAACCTTAGGTAGGTTTCCTTAATTCATACGCCTGTTTACCTAGCACTACGTAAGAACCTGGTTGTTGTTCAATTGGCAGATCGCTTTCTGGAGGTAAAAATGCCTAATCCCTCAAAAAAACTCAAACCACGACTGTTTGTGGGACCCTGCCATGTTTTGCCCACAAATACACAGTCAATCCACTTTACAGTATATTCTGGGAAGTGCTTTGAGACGTCTCAACGATGCGATACAGCACTATATCAAATGCAAAGGATTATTATAATATAAATCCTGTGAAGTATTTTGAGACTGATGTGACATGAGAAGAGTGATATTAAATGCAAAGATTACTATAATTATTAAAGTCAAAAATTGCCAATGGCATTAGGGGAGATGTTGACAGCAGTAACCTAATACTTAGGTTGTGACTGTGGTTACCAGTTGTTCCCTCCCACCTGAAGCCTTGTGGAACATGTCTACGTCTCTGCAAATGGAGGTCGGGATGTGTTGACATCGAGCTCCAAACTGGCCCCAGGTGCGGGCCAGTTCTGTGCGAGCTAACTCCTCGCTCAGGGCTGGGCTGAGATGAATAGATTGATGGTCACAGAGGCCATGGGTTGCTGTGAGACCAGGGCATCTCCCAATAATGACCCACGCACCCTCTAATCATGAATTCAAAGCACGACATCTTGACCGACAGAGCCGTGAATGTATGAGTGTTTGACTGGCCCTGTTTGTAGAGTTAATCCTTTAATCCCCTCACAGCTGCTTCTCAATAGCCTGCCCGGCCTTGCTCCTTTATTTTTCTTTCACACAATCGCCGGTGGTTTTTGTTTTCTCCCGTTTCCGTTCATGTTGTTTAATCGTCCAAGAACCATTCTTCTTCCCGTTATGGTCCTATCAATTGTACACAGTCACGGATAGTCACCACGATCCCTGACAGATCTGACAGTGCGGATAACCAGACACTGCAGATAACTGGACATCACTCAAAGGACACGTTGGCTGCAGTGTTGATGGAAATTTGTTCCAATGCCAGTTATACTGTCACTACAGTGCTCCACTGTGCCAGCCCTTTCTCTTCTCTATCTTGTCTACCACACTTCCTTGCTCTGACTTTCTCTATCTCTCACATACCCTTTCTTTCTCATTCACACTTTCCCGCTCACTCTGCCTTTTTGACTTTTTCTTTCATTCTCCTGGGACGATGCTATAAATTCTGTTGAGCATCAAATAAAATATTTCTTGCATTTGATATCATGATTTATCACATCACTGATGTTTCAAAGCACTTCAAGTATTTACTGTGTGGGCAAACACTGCAGCCAGTTTGCACATACCAACGTCTCCCACAAACAGCCATGAAATTAATGAATTTGCACACAGTGATGTTATCTGAGGGATTGGCGACCAGAGCATCGGGAGAAAGAAACTTGCTTCCCTTTTCCAAAAGCGGCATAGGATGTTTAACTCCCACCTGAACAGGCACGGATGGGAATTTGGCTTAACATCTCATCCGAAGGAACACCTTCGACGTCGCTGTGCACAAATTGGCTGCTAGGTTCCCTTCAAACACGCAGTCATGGCACTTGACAGTGAATCCTGCAAAGTGTTTTGAGACGTCGTCCTGATGATGGAAAGGCAAATCAAACCTCCCGCTGTTTGATTGGGATTGAGCTGCCCACATCCAGTCTGTTTCTCTCCTAGCAGAGGCCTCTTGTGTTGAGCCATTCTTCTTGCCTCCCCCAACCTTGCATGCATCCTAGTCTGTGGCTGCTCTCTCTGCAAGTGCTATCTCTGTGTTTCTCCAGCCCTTGCGGCTGCCAAAGGGGTCACACTGGTCTCACTCTGGTATTGGTCTCCCTCCCCCTCCCCTCCAGGAACGGTTCCTCCACCTCAGAGGATCTTTTCTGGAAGCTGGACGCCTTGCAGATATTCGTTTATGATCTGCACTGGCCAGAACCCGAATTCTCCCAGCACCTGGACCAGAGGCTCAAGCTCATGGCCAGTGACATGATCGAGGCCTGTGTAAAAAGGTAGGTGTACAGACTGTTTAGATGTGCGTGCGTATGCACTGTGTATAGAGGCGTGAAGTTGTATAGGCTGTGTATAGAGGTGTGCGCGTGTACAGACTGTGTATACAGGTGTGTGTGTGTACAGTAATGCTGGCGTAATGGCAGAGGTGCAGAATAACCCTGCTCTTGTAATTCTGGTTGACCAGGACAAGGGCAGCATTTGAGTTAAGGCTGCAGAAAATGAGCAGATCGACAGACTGGAGAGTTCCGGCAGGTGTCTGCACCATGTTCAATGTGCTTATCGATGCCAAGAAACAGTGCACCAAACTCTGCCTGCTGAACGGAGCACAAGAGGTAGGACTGTCTGTCAATTCTACCTGTTAGCCCGGCTCAGTCACTCACACTCTCACCTCTGGGTCAGGAGATTGTGGGTTCAAGCTCCACATCAGGATGCTGAGTTCATAGTGCAGGCTGCATTGTCGCAGGTTCCATCCTTCAGATGAGATATTTAACCAAGGGCTCGTCTGCTTATCTTCAGGTGGATGTTAAAGATTATAATAATAAATATTGTATTCGATATAGCACCATATCACATTGGGTGGGAGGATGTCTCAACGTGCTTCACAAGGTTCACTGTAAAGCTTAATGATTGTGTTTTTTGTGAGTGAACAGAAAATTCGGACTATTGGAAAAGAGAAGGGAGTTTCTCTCTCCCGGTGTCCAGGCTGACAATTGCCCTCCAAGATAAAGTTGTTCATTCACTTCATGGCTTTTTGTGGGACTTTGAAGTGTGCAGTGGATAAGGCCCAATATCAAATCAGCCTGGCAGTCTTCCCTCTGACTCAGAAAGTTATGGGTTCAAGCCCTACATTGGGATTTGGAAAAATGTAGTATGAGCTGTCACTCCAATGGAGTGCTGGGAGTGTGTTGCATTGCCAGAGGTGCCATCCTTTGGATGAGATGCAAGCCAAAGCCTTGCTATGCCCGTTCAGGTGGACATTAAAGATCCCATGGCACTATTCGAAAAAGATAAGGGAGTTTCTCCCATTCTACTAGCCAACAAATCCGCCAAATAAAAATTGGTCACTTGCTCCATGGCTTTTTGTAGGACATTGCTATCTGCAAGCTGGCTGCTGTATTTTGCCCATAAAATACACGGTGAATCCACTTTACAGTACATCCTGTGAGGTGCAAGGATTATTATAATTATAGTCAGAAATTGTCAATTGCATGGGGTGGGTGGGTGGGTTCACAGCAGTAACCTAATTCTTGGGTTGTGACTGTGGTGATCTCTGCAGCTAAAAGCTCACTCCCCTGATGGTGGGGGCAGGGGAATATGAAGCAGGGTGATATCCAACTGAGTGGCGGATGCAGTCGTTTTCCGGGGGTTCGAGAGATAGGGTGAGGGTGAGGTTGTAGAGCGATTGGAAAGCAAGGATCTTGAATTTGATCTTCGCGGGGTGGAGGTGTGGTGGGAGCTACTGGAATTTACGTCAACCCTGGTGGTGAGGCTCAGTGGTGAGTGGGCACCTACCATTGCTTGTCACGTCAGATGTGTTGTGTGTGTGTATGTGTGAGTGTGGACGCTATTCTGCGTAAGGGCGCTTAAAAATGCAAGTTGTTGCTATTTGTGTGTGTGTGTGTGTGTGTGTGCACGTCTCCCATTTGTTGGACTTTGTGTTTTCATAATCCAACGCAATTTTATTTTACCCCTTTCATGCGGCTGATGGTTATTTTGCGGGATGACTTTGATTTACTTTCGCTCATCACTGTCTGTTCTTCTTCCCATGTTACACTTTGTTGTGCTCATTCGCCGCTCCAGTTTAGTAAGCAATGGGTAAGTGCTGATCTTTTGTCTATTATTACCAACGCTCACAGATTGTACCTTTTGGTGACGTACTTCCCTTTCCATGGTCAAAATTAATCAAGGCCCAGTCTGTAGTTCTCCTCTCAGGATAGATATCAGCGTGGCTCACTTAGTGCTTCTGGATCAGAAGGTTCAAGCCCATGTTGGGGACTCTGAGCTCACAGTCTCAGCTGATGCTCCAACATAGTACTGGAGAGAATGCTGCGTTTTCGGAGATGTAGTTTTTTGATGAGATGTTAAACCAAAGTCCCATCTGTGCTTGTTAGTTAACTGGGTTTGGTGTCCAAACTCCATACCACTGTCACCCCACTGCTTGCCAGGCTCCATTGGCTCCCTGTTGCAGAACGGATCAATTTCAAGATCCTCACACTTATGAATCAGTTCACGGCCTGACACTCTACGACCTCTCCAACTTGCTCACGCCCCACTCCACTACCCATCCCCTTCACTCAGCCAGCTCCGGCCTCCTGCATACCCCTTGTCCCCTGCGCTCCACCATCAGTGGCTGTGCTTTCAGCCACTATGCCCCGAGACTCTGAAACTCTCTGTCTCAATCCCTCTGCCTTGTTCTTCTTGTCCATCTTCAGATCACTCCTGAAGACCTTCCTATTCAACAGTACCCATGGTCATCTCCCCTCTCCCCGACTCAGGGTCAACCTCCGCCATTATTAAGCGCCCCGAGATGCTATCCTGCGTGAAGGGCGCTGTGTAAATGCAAGTCATTGTTGTTATTGGTGTGCTGATTTCTGATTCTATACTGAAGCTGTCTAAATCTACTGCTCTCCATCTACCCGCGATCCCAACCTCAGTTTAATGACTTGTCCGAATAAACGTATTGTGAGTTGCACTGAATCCAAGGGTGTCTCGGTGACAGAATTTCAGATCACCCATTCTCTGCGTGAGGCATGTCGCTAGGTCAGAAAGCTGGGAAAGGATGAAAGCAAACCCTGCAGTGATGGAAATAATAACATAACAATGTGTTATAGGAAGCAGTTCATTCAATCCCCAGCCCTTTGCCAAGAGCAATATCAAGCTTTAATGTATTGCTCTACCGTCTGTCCCCGACTACGTGTCTTTACACAATAATCTGGCCTCTAACACTGCCTGTTGTTACCATTTCTGACACCTTGCTGCATTCTGTTTCCATGTGAGGGCATCACTCTGAAAACCCCGGGGGTTTTCCCACCTCCACAATCACATTCCACTCCTCGCGACCCACTCCCCTTACTGTCCTCATCTCCATTCCACTGGTCCTCAAGCTGAGCTGCGGATCTTAGTTGGGTGAGCACTCTGGCCTCTGAGTTAGAACATTGTGGGTTCAAGACCCACGTCAGGGTTTTGAGTTCGTAGTCCACTGCTCCAGTGAAGGGCTGGAGGAGTTGGGGGTGCCGTCCTTCAGATGAAATGTTAAATCAAGGTCCCATCTGTGTCCTGCTCGTGGCGCTATTGGAAACGAGAAGGAGTTTCTCCCTCCCGGTGTCCTGGCTGACAATCCCCCAGATAAAATTGGCTACTCACTTTATGGCTGTTTTGTGGGAAGTTGCTATGCGCAAACTGGCTGCTGTGCCGTCCTACAAAATACATTGTCTTTGCACTGTCCAATGAATCCTATGAAGCACATTGAGACGTCCTTCTAACATGATAAGGCGCTGTATCAAATGTAAGGATTATTATTTCTCAATATGAGAGAGTCTCCCCTAATTGTTGCAGTTTTTTGCTGAAACACAAAAACGCTTGTGAACATAAGAATTAGGAGCAGGAGTAGGCCATTCGGCCCCTCTAGCCTGCCCCGTCATTCAATAAGATCATGGCTGATCTATTCTAACTCCACCTACCCGCCTTATCCCCGTATCCCTTAATCCCTTTATCCAAAAGAAATCTATCAATCTCAGTCTTGAATATGTTCAAGGACTGAGCATCTACAGTCATTTGGGGTAGAGAATTCCATAAATTCACTACCCTCTGAGTGAAGAAGTTTTTTCTCAACTCAGCGCGAAAGGGCTTATCCCTAATTTTAAGACTGTGACCCCTGGTTATAGTTTCTCCAACCAGAGGATAAAGTCTCCCACTGTCTTTTCTGTCGTGCCCCTTAATAATCTTATAGGTTTCTATAAGATCACCTCTCATTCTTCTGTATTCTAGAGAATATAGGCCTAAATTGCTCAACCTATCCTCATAACTCATCCCCCTCATCCCTGGGACCAACCTAGTGAATCTACCCTGTACCCCCTCCAAGGCGAGTACATCCTTTCTTAAATAATGAGACCAAAACTGCACACAATACTCTATGTGCCGTCTCACCAGGGTCCTATACAGTTGCAGCAAGACTTCCCTACTCTTTATATTCTAACCCTTTTGTAACAAATGCCAACATACCGTTAGCCTTCCTATTTGCTTGCTGCACCTGCAAACCAACTTTAGTGTGCAAGGACATCCAAGACCCTCTGAACTCTAACACTATCGAGTTTCTCCCCTTCTAAAAAATAATCTGCTCTCCTGTTTTTGCCACCTAGGTGGATGACCTCACCCTTCCCTACATTATACTTCATCTGCCACCTATTTGATTGAGATTGTCAGCCAGGACACTGGGAGCAAGAAATTCCCTTCTCTTTTAGAATAGTGCCATGGGATCTTAAACAGGCAGATGCGACCACGGTTTAACTTCTCATCCGAAGGACGATATCTCCGACAGCGCTCCCTGTGCACTGCATTGAAGCGTCACCCTATGGGTTCCTAGTGCTGATGTGGGGTTTGAACCCATAATCTTCTGTTGACGATTCAGAGACGAAAGTATGAGAGACTGAGCCAGGCTGACTCACTTCAGCACTGTAGGAAGGAGAAGCCAAAGGATCAATGATTCAGGTTCAATTTGACTGGTGCTGAGCAGCAGACCATTCAGAACCTTGGCAAAGGACTGAGTTTTAGGGCCAAGCTATAACAACTTTAGACGCCCTTTTTACTAGAAATTAGTTTTCTGGTCACCGTGCATGTGACACTTGGAAATCTCTTACCGTGCTTAATAATCTCCAAACGAGACTGAGAGTTCCATGTACACCATCTACTCATAGAAATTCCAGTGTGTGTCTAGAATGGAATTCACACTCTCCCCGGAGGAATGTATCCTACTTACCTAATTCTGGAGAGTATTAGACGCAGGTTGGTGAAAGCCAAGGGTTGTAGACCTCAGACTGTGCATTGGGGTAACTGCTGGAGTCTAACCAGCTAAAACCACATAACTTGCTATTGAGAGCATTCCCATTGCTTGTCCAGCTAGGACAACCCGGGTTAATGGAAGCTGAGTGGAAAGAATCTCAGCTCACTCTTCCACCCACTCAGAGAGGAATGAAGATAAACTAATAATCTAATAATAATTGGAGACAAATTAAACTTTACAAGAAGCAATAGATAAAAATTTCAGTTTTGAATTCCACCCGCTCACCTTTAGACAATCCCAGTACAGCGGAGTATGCCATAGGCGGAGGTATAATAAAGTACAGTTATTCAGATAAAGGAACCTGTTTGATTTTGTCTCAATATTGATTTTGAAGCAGGGCTGTTCAATTTAAAAAGAGCACAATGGTGGGAGATGGCTTGTTAATCAGCATCAATATCAAGTACTAGTTTTGTTAGGAAGCTTTTCAGCTTTGAGGGCAATTTAAAAACAATCCACCCGCAAATTCCATTTCTCGTGCTGTAGCATCGCTGCATGTGAAAAGGGACTAGACTCTTGTCAGACCAACAAATAGAATCTTTTTCTTTCCCACACACAGAAACTGCTTTTCAATGACTTTATCAACGCGAGACAGCAGACATAAAAAAAATGCATTAATTCAGTCTTCTTCCAAAGCCTTTCACTCGCCGAACCGGACGGTTCTTTAGAAAAGCGTATTCATAATTGCAGGCAAAACGGACAAAAAAAAAGATATCCTTCACATTCCTGTGTCTTGAATGAAGTCTGCAGCTCAATTCAGCCAAATAATAGTGCTGTTAGCTGCTCAACGTAACGGTGTATAGGGAAAGATTTCAGGCTGAATGGAAAAGACTATTGGGTGGGGAACTGCGTTCAAGGTTTTACTCTTTTGATGTGCTTAATTATGGTCTCTTAATTGTGTTTAAGATGGGAGGAAGCACTGTTCTATATACAAAGAAAGTCCTCTTGCTTCCCCCTCGGAGATGAATGATTTCTCTCTCTTGCTCTTTCTTTTTTTTCTCTCTCATTCTCTCTCTCTCACCCACACAGCAGCAGTACCATTCAAAGGTAGATGACTTAATCGAGGAGACCTTCAAAGAGATGATTAGCCTCCTCGTCTCAAAGGTGAGTTGCATCACAGCACATTACCTTCACACATACCCTCAGCTTACCCCACCACCTAACCCTCCACAGTTCCTGTCACCTCTGGAGTAACGATTGTCCAGTCACTGTAGAGATTTCACGAATGACCCAGTGGGTGCAAGTGCAGACTGGACCATTGATGAGCCATGTAGATCGCAGGGTCTCAGGATCGATTCCTGCTGTGTGGTGAGTTGGGGTCAAAACATTGGGTGGAGATCGAGCGAGGAGCTTTGATGTTCCCTGTGGTGATACCCAATGTACTCAAGAATGAAGAGAAAGAGGGGCGGAGGGGAAGAGTCGCGAAGGTCAATCAGGGCTCCTACTCATGATATGGAACACTCCTCATCCATCCATCCCCCCCACACAGCTTCGAGTTTGAGTAAAGACAAGGTTATGATTGCCCTCCATTGATTGCCCTTGAAGGTGAGGTGTATGTGTGGGTGGTGAAGGTGAAGCTGGGCAGAAAATGCCTTTTACTTGTAATGTGTGATTACTGCCCGAAGTATAAAAAAAAATGATATCTGCTTCCCCCCGAGGCTATGTACCAGCCTAAACTCAAGTGTAGTGACTGTGATCCTGATCCGTTGGACATTGGTATTGTCAAGAGATGGAAAACTGAGGAGAATTTCAGCCCTTCTGACATGTAGCAATAACACAGCCTGTGAGGGCTCTGCTTTCTGCAGGTTCCGGTTATAGACTGAGTTAAAAAAAAAGCTCAACAGCTGAGTGTTAGAGTGGGTATGAGGTGCTATATGACGCGATGCGACACAAATGTGATGGACTCACAGTTACAGGAATTATGCTTTACCTAACAAGCCCAGAGATAGCATGTGCAAAATGATTCCCGAATCACGGTGTAATTCAATAAAAAGATGGAGTGCAAAAAAACAACTAACTTTCTTTTTTTATTTTTCAAACTGCAAAGTTTGTCTCAGTGCTGGAAGGCGTATTATCCAAACTATCGAGGTACGATGAGGGGACCTTCTTTTCCTCGATCCTCTCCTTCACGGTGAGTCTTTCTACTCAAGGTGTGTATGTGTATATATATATATACCTGTTCAGACAATAATAATAATCCTTGTATTTGATATAGCACTTTACCACATCCTTGAGATGTCTCAGAGCTTTTCACAGGATATACTGTGAAGTGGACTGTGTGTTTTATGGGTGAAACACGGCAGCCAGTTGCCACCCTTTATTCTCCGCTCCCCTACTGTCTCTCCTCTGGCTTTCCTAACTCTCTTGGCTCATTGCTCTCATTGTGTGTCTAACTCAGTCACTTGCACTCTTGCCTCTTGAGTCAGAAGATTGTGCATTCAAGCTCTATGCTGGAAGCCCTCAGATGAGACATCAAACCGAGGTCCCTTCTGCCGTTCACTCACTTCATGCCTGTTTGTAGGACTTCGCTGTGTGAAAATTGGCTGCTGTCTTTGCCCACAAAATACATAGTCACTACCCTTTACACTATATCCTGTGAGGCGGTATGGCAGCGTGATGAAGTGTAAGTCAAATACAGGGATTAATATTACTCTGATTATACCTTGCTTTCCCTGGAAACATTTGTCCTATTTGAGGACAAAATCATTTGATCTGTCTTTCTGATCTCAGGAATTGCCCCTGGAGAATAGCAGGATATTGGCAGTGTGAATCTGGAGTCTGGAGGTGACAGGTTCTCATCTCAACCTGCGACTGAAGCATACAATGATTTTTTGGGGTCACCGGGTGTCTGACATATGTGAAAACCCATCCCCATACTTAAGAGTATCCAAACTAAACTGAGAATTCCATGCATCCCACCTATACATGGAAATTCCAGAGATGTTTATTGGAGTGGAATGTGCACTCTCTCCCTGGACTCATCCTGTTTGCCTAATTCCGGAGAATATTAGGTGCAAGTTAGAAAGAGAGTGTAGTTTGGTAACTGCTGGACTCTAACTGCTGGAGTCTAAAACCACGTTGATAGTACTGCCTGGTAAACTTTCCTGCTGCTTGTCCAGCTAGGACCACCCTACCCAGTAGGGCTTTGGCTTGTAGGGTTAATGGGAACTGAGTGGGAAGAATCCTTGTCCCAGTGACCGGTCAGGCCCTCCCAAGTCCTGCAGATGAGCAAGGCTGGCTGGGCTGTCATCAGCAGTGCCCTAGAGTACTGCAGACCAGCCTGACTCAGGAATTGGACTAGAGACTGTCACAGAGGGTGGTCTAGATTCTGACATTGTGTTGTCAAACATGTCACCTTGGAGACTGTTCAGCTCCAAGGAGACCCTGCTTACCTCTTCTCCATAGAGGATAGTCAAAAGATCGGAGCCCCTGTGCTCACATCCTTTTTTTTGTGGAACCAGGCGATCTACAAGCATTGCACTGGAGTGTCAGCCTAGACCATGTAGTTCAGTCCAAACGTGGGCCTTGAACCCACAAATTTCCGGCTCAGAGACGACAGGGCTACTCAGCCAGGCTGACGTAAATGCACAGTGACTTTACAGAAAAAAAACTCTACCTTTTACAGAAAATAACCATGTGAAGCTCTTTTTGACATTATGGATGCTGTGTCAAGTGCAAGATTATCATTATTGTGTGTGAAAGGTTTCCAGATTGTCAATTTCCCTTTCTCATCTTTCAAGGTCAAAGCCGCTGCAAAGTATGTGGATGTTCCTGTGAGTATTGGTCTTCGCTGGTGGTGTCGTTACACATTTCACCTCCCCGCCCACCCCCAATTCAAGAGAAACGGTGCAGAAGGGGAGGGGTGGGTGCAGTCTGCATTGCAATGCTCGGCTGGTTTGTTGTTGGCCCGACCTAACAACAAGATTGCTATTGTGGCAAAGATTAAGTGTGCGAAGGGCAATTTTTAGGACAGACACCAGGAAGGATTTCTTTACCCAGAGGTTAACTAGAAGTTAGCATCTGCCTGCAATTACGCAGTCATGACACGTCACCGTCAAATCCTGTGAAGTGATTTGAGACATCTCGACAATGTGATAAGAGTTAGAAGCTTGTGAGTTTCAGCCCCACGTCAGAACTTGGAATCACAAAATCTAAGCTGAACCTCCAATACAGTGCTGCGGGTGCGTTGTATTGTCGGTGGTGCTGTCCTTCAGCTGAGACATTAAACCAAGATCCCGTCTGCTTGTTCAGGTGGAGGTTAAAGATCCCATGGCGTTATTTGAAAAGAGAAGGCAGTTTCCCTGGGGGCCTGGCCAACAATCCCCAAACATAATTGGTCGATCAATCCATAGCTGATTGTGGGACATTGCTATGTACAACTGTCTGCCGCATTTTGCCCACAGAATACACAGTCACTACACTTTACAGTGAATCCTGTTAAGCATTTTGAGACATTGCAAGAACGTGATAAGGCACTATATTAAATACAAGGATTATTATTATTGTTATTAATTAACAAGTAGAGCAAGTTGCCAGGAAGGGTGATTGAGGCAAAGACACTGGGACTGATTTTAAAAACATCCTGATGCCTCGATGGGAGGAACGATAAAGTGAGATTAGATTCTTAATCTTAATGTCCACCAAAACAGGCACACAATATATAAATGCAAGTTGCTGTAATTGAAGAAACATGCTTTTTTATAAAAATCAGTCAGTATCTTAGCACTGAATCTTTGCCAAGGAGATTGCTTGTGTAAGATCTGCGTGCAGGAACAAGTGCTAAAAGTTTGTAATTAACGCAAGTATTTGATTCCCTGGTATCTTTTCAGCAAGCTATACAGGATTTACTGTAAAGTATATGTTTTGTAAGCGAATGCTCCAGCCAATTTGCACACAGCAACATCCCACAACAGCCATGAAGATCGTGACCAATTTTATCTGGGGAATTGTTAAAGACCGACTTCTTTGACCGTGCCTATGGTGACTCCCCCTCCCCCTCTCGCCCTTGCTCGTTGTCCAACCCCACATTGTGCAGCCCTCCTGCGTGAAGGGCGCTGTGTAAATGTAGGTTGATGTAGTTGCTAAGGTTTACACCCAGACTTGTCCGTGTCACCACCCAAACCAGAGCTGTTACACAGCCATTGAAAAGAAACCCAAACCAGTCTGTTCCCTGTGTGACTCACACCTTGACCAGCCTCACCCTCTCTTTTATTTCTCAGCAAACTGCATTGTACACAAATGGGGTGTTTGTTAAGAACTTAATCCCCGGATCCAACAGGTGTAAAAACATCCCCTCAATCCAATCCGCCCCTTCCTGTTTGGCAAACAGTCAAATTCTGTCCAGGCTCAGTATGTCACACTGTGTTGTCACACAGAAAAACAATGTTTGCATTTGATACAGTGCCTTTCACATCAGGAGGATGTCTCAAAATACTTCACAGAATTTACTGTAAAGTGTAGTGACTTAGTGTGTTTGTGTAAGCAAACGTGGCAGCCAATTTGCACACAGCAACATGAAAAACTACAGGCGGGACCTCAGTTTAAAGTTTCATCCAAAGGACAGCAACTCCATCCCTTTGAGGCATCCTCCCGATGTCTGGATGAGCGCAAATTTCCTGCGCCTGAATGTCTCCCAAGACGGAAGCCATACTCTTTGGCTTCCGTCAACATCTTCTCTCCTGCAGGTCTGAACTTCTCAACCTCCTTGCGCTCTCACTCAGACTCACCAAACCCATGCACAATTTAAGCATCAGGTTTGATCCCCAGCTTTCCTTTCCACCCCGCATCCGTTCCCTGACCAGGACTGCATTTTTTCACCTCCATCACATTGCCTTCCTCTGTCCGTAACTCACACCCACAGCAACCAAAAACTTTGTCCACATCTTCATCATTTCGTGGCTGGACTATTCCAATGCCCTCCTCGCTGGCCTCCCCAGCTCCACCATATATCAAATACAATAAATTCAGAACTCCGCTACCCAGATACTAACCCACACAAAACTCCAAACCCCCATCACACCAGTCCTTGCCAGCCTCCACTGGCTCCCAATTACAGAATGGATCAATTTCAAGATCCTCTTACTGATTTTTAAATTCCTTGATACCCTCGCACCACCCTACCTATCTGATCTTCTTACCCTCCACCACCCGCTCGGCTAGCTGTTTCTCCCTCATGCCCTCCACTCCACCATCGGTGGCCGTGCCTTGAGCCACTATGCCCCGAAACTCTGGAACTCTCCCACTCAATCCCTCCGCCTTGCCCCCTCCCTCCCCACTTTCAAATCGGGCCTAAAGACCTTCCTTTTTGGATCGTGCTTACGGTCACTTCCCTCTCCCTTTGACTCAGTGTCAGACTCCACCACTGTCAACCCTGTGTGAGCGGCGCTGTGTAAATGCAAGTTATTGTTGATGTGAAAGCCACTACATCAAATGCAAGAATTATTATTATGATTGTATCATCATGAATTTCAATGGCTTCTATATTCCAGTAAATTAATTTTTAAGTCCTTTGACTTTGCTTCAAATACCATTGAGGTCTTGCCAGACCTTACCTATGTGACTCTGGCCTGCTTCATTGCTCTCTGGGGCATTCTACATCCTGACCAAAAATAAAATGTAGTGATTTATTCAATTTCTCTCCTCCTTTTAAGGAGCGATTGATGAACCCATATGATGATATCTACACATAATAATCACAATTGATCTTCTCTGTACTTCAATCCTCCAGCTCGTCAGCTCACAGGATCTGACAGTCATTTAGCCAGTGAGCGAGAGTAGAGGCTATAGCTGCTGATTATATATAATTGCCTGCCTGACTGCCTGCCACAATGAGCAAGATATCATTTGAAAGGAGTGAGATGTTAATTGGTAAATGGCAGCGATTGCTGTGTTTATCCCCTCCTCTGGGCTGTGTACATTGTGCACAGAATCACTTAAATGGCTAAACGTATTGTCTCGTGCGAAAATCCCGCTTGTCGGTGCAACTGCAAACTGTTTAACTCCCTCGCTGTTGTGTCAGAATTATTGTGGGGTGTTTGCGCTCCTGGTCTGGTGTAGTGATTCTTAATCAAATTGTTTTTGGTGGTCTCAGTGCGCGTATGTCCACCAGTATGTGATACTTACCCCCTCCCCCTCAAGCTTACCGGCGTGCAGGGAGAGACGGTGAGGGAGGAAGAGAGCGTGCACATATTCACCTGCATTCCCCCCACATGTTTGAATTACAAGAACCAGGAACCAGCATTCACTGCATTGCACTGTGCTTACTCTGCCCACCCCCAAGCCAGAGGCTGCTGTGACCACACAAAATCAAACGAGCGGCCGCATTTGAGAAACACTATTCCAGGTTGTGACATTCCAGAACAGTGCTAGGGGGAACGCTGTATTGTCGGAGGCACCGTCCTTCGGCTGAGGTCCCATCTGTGCATGTTCAGGTGAACGTTAAAGAGCCCGTGGCTCTGTTGGAAAAGAGAAGGAAGCTTCTCGCCCCAGTGTTCTGGCCGACAATTCCCCAGATAAAATTTGTCACTCACGTTCTCAGGATATAGCGTATTTTGTGGGTGAAAAAATAGCGTCCCATTGCACGGAACAACATCCCACAAACAGCCATTAAGTGAGTGAATGATTTTATTTGGGGAATTGTCAACCAGGATACCGGCAGAGAGAAACTCCCGTCTCTTTATCAATAGCGCCTTGGGATATCCTCCCAACGTGAAAGGTGTTGTACAAATGTAATTTTGTATTGTATTGTGGCCGCGGGATCTTTAACATTCACCTGAACAGGCAGATGGGACTGGTTGAATATCTCATTCAAAGGACGACACCTCCAACAATATAATAACACCCAACACTGCACTGGAGCATCAGGCAAAATTGTGAGATCAAAGTTCCCAATTTGAAACCCACATTAAAATTAATTTAAATTAATTAATTAAAATTAAGATTTTTTTTAATTTTCCTTTCTCTTTCATTCCACCCAGCAACCGGGGACGGACCTTGTGGACACTTACATCACGTTTGTGCGGCAGAACCAGGACATACTTAGAGACAAAGTGACAGATGAAATGTACATTGAATCATTGTTTGATGTAAGTTTCTGTTCTCGTGCTGAGAACGCAAAAGGGGAATGGAGGGAGGGGGTCATGAATGGGTTCTCCTTAGAGTTGCGCTGGCTCCACCTTCTTGGTCATGGAATGTTGGAATCAAGTCCACCCTCTGTGATGGTCTCTAGTCCTGTTCCTGAGACAGGCGGGTTCATAGTACTCCAGGTCACTGATGACAGCCCAGCCCAACCTAGCTCATTGGCAAGTTGAGGAAGGGGCACTGGGGGCATGGACTCATCCCACTCAGCTCTTGTTAACCAAGCCAAAGCCCTAACATTAGGGTGGTCCTAGTTGGGCAAACAGTGGGAAACTGCTCTTATTATTATTAGATTATTATTTTACCTTGATTCCTCACTGGGGGTAGGAGAAGGAACGGGAATGCTTGCCAGGCAAAATTCTCAATGGCAAGCTATGCGGTTTTAGCTGGTTAGTCTCTAGCAGTTACCTCAATGCACACTCTGAGGTCCCCAAGCCTTGGCTCTTGCTGACCTGCACCTAATACTCTCTGGGATTAGGTAAACAGGATGCATCCCTGCAGGGACAGACAGAGTGTGCATTCCATTCCAGACATGGGGAAATTTTCATTTCTAGGTGGCATATGTGGAACTCTCAGTCTGGTTTGGAGACTCTTAAACATGGTGATGGGTTTCCATGTGTGTCAGACACCAGCTAACGAAAAATAATATGAACGAATTGTTAAGGGCGTCTGATGGAGTGGAGTTGATTGACTGGAAGTTAGACACTGTATGGAGGAAGGGTATAGTGGTGCTGAGAAATACCAAGGGGTTGGGATAAGAATAATCTCTCCCATTGGAATGGAGGCTACCGATGCTAACATAAAAGATGGAATTGCCTCCTACTGATTTCTGTGGTTCTGTTGATAAGTCTGAGTAACATTTCTGAGGCTCAGGGTTGTTTTGGTCTTTGAGGTAGTTTGGGGGCCCGACAGGGAATATAGAAGGATAAAAGATTCCCTTTATATGAGAATGGGTGATGGAGTGGGGGGAAGAATCATTGATTTTAGTGGAATAATCAGGGTTGAAGTTGGAAGCAATCTCTTCACTCAGAAACTTGTCAATAAGTGTCAGCCTGGCTTGGTCGGTAGCACTTGCGCCTCTGAGTCAGAAGGTTGTGGGTTCAAGCCTCATGTCAGGTTGGAACCACATAGTCCAGACTCTCCAGTACTTTGTGACCCCATTTTTCAGAAGAGATGTAAAACCGAGGTCCTATCTGTGCGTGTTCAATTGGATGTTAAAGATCCCGCAGCACTATTGGAAAGAGAAGGAAGTTTTCAAGGGGGGGGGGGGGGGGGATAGAGTGGGAGGAACACTGCATTGTCAGAGGTGCCATCCTTCGGACGAGATGTTATACTGAGGTCCTGTTTGTGTTCAGGTGGATGTTAAAGATGTTAAAGATATTAAATGGCATAATATCAAGAGAGGTGTCCTGGCCGATAATCCCCTGGATATAAAATGGATATTTTTTGTAGGCGAATGCGGCACCCAATTTACACATAGCAATGCTGTGTGTAAATTGGCTGCCGTGTTTGCCTGCAAAAAAAAACAGTCACTACACTTTGTAGGAAATGTAAGGAATCACTTTAAGTTTGACAAGTTTGTAGGCTTAGGGTTAGGATGAAGACCCAATGGAGCAATCCAGGAGATATTGGTGCATGGGTTATGGAAGTTAATGAGTGATGGTATTTGGAAACAAAGCCAGCTGTGTGAAGGAAAGCTCTTTATTGCTGTGCTGAAATGTAGATTAAATCATCTGCTTAATCACTCATCTGAAGTGCATCAATGAATCTGTAAACGGCACTTAATAATGTTATTTACGTCTCTTTGCTGCAGTGAATTTGTTGCTTTTAAGCACACGCCAGCTCAGTTATTAAATCAACTTAGTGAACTGGCACACAATTACCAGGGTCGGTTGCAGGATAGGATAGTGCTGGCACATTGGTACAGAGCGCGCTCCAACACTACCCCTGACCAAACACGGGAGCACTTCACTTTGCACTGTAAAGTTCAATGACTGAATTTTTATAGAGGCACGTGGTAGCCAATTTATGCACAGCAAAGTCCCACAAATAGCTGTGAAGTGAGTGAGCACTTTTTTATCTGGGAGATTGTTCACCAGGTCATCTGTCTCTTTTTCAATAGCGCTCGGGATTTTTAACTTCCAACTGAAAAGGCACAGATGGAAGCTCAGTTTAAAGACTTATCTGAAGGACGGCACCTCTGATAATGAGGTGCTCCCCTCTCAGCACTGCGCTGGAACGTCAGCTTAAATATGAGCTTGAAGTTCCCAACGGGGGCATACACCCTCAACATTGTGACTTACTCAGCCAGGCTGGCACAGAGGGTAATGGCAACCCACTGATCCACTGAAAGATGAGACCCTCTCCTGGCTGTGCAGTGGAAGCTCTCCACCCCACGTAGGTGATCAGACAGATTCCCTCTGTGTTTTGCTCAGCTCCATTCACAGGAACAGCTCTCTTAATTAGTCACAGCTAATGAGGGTTGCAGAGTCAGAAATGGCATGGCCGTGGTACAAGACTGTGACCTCCCGAATCTGGGGTGTTATTCTGACCTCCTGGGAGGATTTCAAGTAGTGTAAAGCAGCAACCGACAAAAGGGGAATGAGACGGGCAGCATAATGTTACAAGGAGAGAATGGGATGCAATACCAGGCAGTGCTGAGCCCCAACAGGGAGCTACACACACTGGCTAATAAGATGCTTGTTAATTACTGTCTCCACCTTTCCCTCTCCACACAGCACACACAATATGGAGGGGGAGTGAGGAATAGGGAGAAAGAAAAAAAGAAATTAATTGCAATTGGCACAGCACTTTCAACATCTCAAAGTGCTTCACAGGGTGCACTGTAAAGTGTAGTTACTGTGTTTTTGGGGCGAACGCAGCAGTCAATTTGTACATAGCAACATCCCATGAACAGCCATGAAGTGAGTGATCAATATTATCTGGAGGATTGTTGGCCAGGACACTGGGAGAGAGAAACACCCCCTCTCTATTCCAATAATGCCATCAGATCTTTAACATCCACCTGAACAGGGAACCTACAGGACCTCAGTTTAACATCTTGCCTCATCTCAGCTGCTGAAAGGCATCACTGAAAGTATCAGCTTGGGTCATTCGTGAAATCTCTACCGTGACTGGACAATCGTTACTCCAGAGGTGACAGGAACTGTGGCGGGCTGGGTGGTGGGATGAGCTGAGGGACTCAAGCCCCCACATCGGGGACTTTAGGAGAGCATAGGATAGATTTTTTCACTCAGAGAATTGTTGGGACATGGAAAGTGGCAGAGGCAGAGGCTGTTGTGGGTTTCAGGAGGGAAGTGAACAGGTATGTGGGGGATATAGTTGTGAAGAGATGTGGGAATATGGCAGAGTAGTGGGATTGAATGATGGATGATCAATCTTGTGCGTGATCTTATGATTGTGAGCAGTTTGCTCTTATGGCCGTGAAGACTTCACGGATCGAGTGGCCTCCTTCTACACCGTATATCTCAATGATTCTAAGTGTTGTATAAAATGAAATGGTTATAATTTAAGTGTGATGTGTTGCTGTCTATTTGTGGCGACTGAATGTCTTCTGTTTGCTTTCAATTTCTGGATCCTGTCAAGCTAGAATTTGTGGTCACCAGGTGTGCAACCCAAGCACAAATCCATCACTGTGGTCGGTCAGGTATCTGATACATTCGGAAACCTATCACTGTGATCAGCCGGGTGTCTGACACACAGCAGGGTGAAGATGGGGGAGGGGAAGGATGACCAAAAGAGGTGCGTCTTGAGTCAGCCACAGTTTGGCAAGAGTCAAGGCTTGGGGGGAACCCAGAGTGTTCATTGGGATAACTGCTGGAGTCCAACCAGCTAAACCCACAGCTTGCCATTGAGAACACTATTTGGCTGGCTTGCTTACCGCTTGTCCAGCTATGACCATTCTAGCTGTTACGGCTTTGACCTGGCAGGGTTCATGGGAGCTGAGTGGGAAGAGTCCCCGCTCGCTTTGTCCGACTTCCTACTCCTCCCTCCGTCTCGCAGGTTATTTTTTCCGTGGCTCCCAAGTGAAAGCCTGAGAGCAGGAGGGATGGAAGGGCGTCTCGCTCAGCTTTCCACCATTTAGACAAGAGTCTCTGGCTCAGTCACGGCCAAGAACTGGCCGAGCTCTTTCATTATGGGCGACAACGCTGAGCACAGTGGGGTTCGGAGGTTGGTGTTCACGCTGGGCCTTTTACATGGCAGACGTCTGTTCATCCAAAACCAAAAGAGCTGGTGAGAGACGGGTGGGGTGGGGGATGGGAGAAAGATGATATTGGAGAGAGTGCTTGTAGCTCTGCAAAGGCAATTTTCAAACTCAGCTCCCCTGGTGTTTGTGAATGGTTGACCTTGTCAGTATCACATACGCATCAAGCATTCAATGTTTTATCAGCCAACTTGCTGTTGATTCCAGTCCTCGCTCCCTCATCAATTGTTGACTGCCTCTGAAGCTCCCTTTATATTGGGTTTTTGTAAACTTTCTTTAAAAGCTAGATTAGCCTGATGTTCTGTTGTCTGCGCGCCTGCTGCTGTGTTGAATCTATCTGGTGTGCGAAGCGAGAGGGAGCTTGATGAGGAAATGAGGCTCTTAATGTGATTCCCCGGCTCCCAGTCATGCACGATCGGTGTGAACAGATACAGGGGTCGCTCTGTGTCAGTGCTTCCTCAGGGCCTATGCCTCGCTTAAAAAGAGGGAAATGAAGTGGATAAATACAAACGAGGTGACATTCGGATTCGGTTGTGCAGAGATTTTAATTGCAAACAGTGTCAGGCGCTAAGTAGCACAGTATTATCATAACAATAATACAATTGCAGCATACTTTACATTTACACACTGGCTTTCATATCAAGAGGACTGCGCAAAGGCACCCGAGCTGGGGTGGGAGCCGAGGGGTGAGGTTGGGGGTGGGTGGGGGAGGGGTGGATGGGGGAGGGAGGGGAAAGATGACTGCGAAAGCACGGTCAAAGAGGTTCATTTTGAGATGGATATTGAAAGAGGGCGGGAGGGAGGGAGTTAGAGGGACTTTGAGATAGAGTTCAAGAAAGCAGGGGCAGAATTAAGATAACAATAATTTGTGCATTTTGATACGGCACCTTTCACGTCGGTAGGACTCCTCAGTGCGCTTCACAAGATTTACTATAAGGTGCAGTGACTGTTTATTTTGTTGGCAAACTCAGCAGCCATTTTGTGCACTGCACCTTACAATAAACAGCAATGGAGTAAATGATTGATTTTATCTGAGGCATTGTTGGCCAGGACACCGGTAGAGAGAAAATCCCTTCTCTTTCTCTTTTCCAATAGTGCGGCAGGATCTTTAACTTCCACCTGAACAGGCACAGACAGGACCTTGGTTTAAATTCTTATCCGAAGAATTGCATCTCCGACAATGCAGCGCCCCCCCAGCACATCACTGGAGCATCAGCCTCAACCCAAGTTGTGGGGGGTCGGTGAGGGCTTGAACTCACAACCTCCCATTAAAACCCAAATAATGTAACGTCTCGTGTCTTGGTGAGACGAGGAGTCTGGGCCTTCTCCCACAGAGATGGATAATGTGTGAATGATGGTTAGTCGAAATGAGTCTCGAAGAGAGAAGTGTGCATGCTTCCCTGATCCGCACTGTTCTGCTTTTATTGCTGGAGAGTGTTTATTGTTGTCTCTCTCTCTCGCCCCTCCCAGCAATGGTACAGCAGCTCAATGAGAGTCATCTGCCTCTGGTTGTCAGATCGATTGGATCTACAGCTCCATCTCCACCAGCTCAAAACGCTCATCAAGATTGTGAAGGTAAGGACCACGCCTGTCTCTTCTGTGCTAGTGTGATCTCTCCCAAGGACGATGGCGCACTGGGCACCCACAAGACGCTGAGGCCACCACCACAGACTTTAAACTCGTGAGCGCAGGGAGAATTTAGTTGGATTTGGGATTTTTTTGCTCATCCGATTAACATTTACTGGGAAGTGTAGTACAGGTGTGAGTCTATATATACAGGTGTGAGATGGTGTGGACAGGTGTGAGACTGTATACAAGTGTGCGACGGTGTGTGCAGGTGTGAGACTGAACAGTGTGAGACTGTGTATACAGGTGTGAGATGGGGTGTATAGGTGTGAGACTATGTACAAGTGTGAGACGGTGTGAACAGGTGTGAGACTGTACATGTGTGAGACTGTGTACTCATGTAGGACTGTGTACAGGTGTCAGACTCTACAGAGAGTCTAATTGTGTGTGTTTAATGATTGTGTTTGTTCAGCGAGGTGAATGGCCCTTCAATGAATTGATTGCTCTGTCGTACCAGATCTGTATTGATACTCTTCGGAGGCAGGCGGCAATTTTTGATCGTGAAAGTTGAGGAGACATTGAAAACAGTCAAAAAGAAAATAACAAAATAATAATACAGTAAAACTCGCATAAATCTTATCTTTATAAATCTTATAAAGGCCTGAGTTGTACATTCACCCAAGTCCCATTCAGTTTTACTATCAAAACCACTTAGATTTCTTTGCACTACTCATATTAATCATCTCCTAACTTGTAACATCGCTCCCCTATCCTCCATTATGCACTTACCAGCTGTAATGAATCACGGGAAATGAAGGACTGACCAGCCAAAGCATGTGTGCTTACCATCTGGCTGCATTGAATCGCGGCAAGCACAGTCTTGATCCGTCATCATATGCGCAGAAGAACCTTATTTCCCGCGATTCAATGCAATTCCGACTCTGTTCGGTAAGTCACGTACAGCAATGGGTCAAGGCCCATGGAATCAAGGAAACGTCCTGACCCATCAACGTATGTTGACTTCGTGGTTGCATTGAATTCCACATGCTCAGTGGTGATTATTGATCAAATCAGATTTGATACGACTTATACAGTTTGCCTGCAACTCCGGAGTGATTTTTTTCATCCTTTCTGTCCACCCCCCCCCCCCCACCCCCCACACAAAACAAAATGTGCAGAAATCTTACCGAGACTTCAGGCTTCAAGGTGTACTGGAAGCAACCCTGAACAGTAAGACCTACGAGACTGTGCACAGCCGGCTGACGGTGGAGGAAGCCACAGCCTCCGTTTCCGAGGGAGCGGGGCTTCAAGGCATAAGCATGAAGGACAGTGATGAGGAGCCTGAGGACGTGAAGTAATGAGAGGACACGAAGCCCTCACTATCGATCAATCAATCGATTCATCATCTGCTCGCTCCGGATTGTATCTGCCAGTGTTTTGCTCCACTTGGAAGTTTTTTTTTATTCAATAATGGGGAGGGAGGGTGTGTATTTTAATGTAGTGAGTGGGGAAGGGAGGTGGTGGGAGGGAGATTAGGGGGTCTGGCATTCTACTCGTGACTCACTGTTGTGCCGTGACTGTGCCGTGGACTCCACACAGGTTTAAGACGTGCAAGTTGCATAAGTGAATTAAACAGGGGGTACGTCACCCCAACTAGGGCAGGACTTTGCTCCACTATGCTCTGCAGCCCTCCCATCTGCTCCCAATTACAGTCAATGCAGACTTCTCTTCAAAGCTGAGACCCCTCCTCAACACACAGACCCCTCCTCAACACACAGACCCGTTGTCAACACACCGACCCCTCGTTAACGCTGAGACCCCTTCTCAATGCTGAGATCCCTCCTCCCATTCCCAGCTCTCTCCCCACCATCCCACCACTCCCTACACCCCCCCTGCCCTCCTGCCATCTCCACATTCCCTCACACCCACCCTCTCATCAACACTCCGCCCTCTCACCCTTCTGGCCTTCTCTCTTTGCCCCGCGCTCTCCCATGTCATCCCCTCTCCCATGGCCTTGCTCTCTCCCTAAGGACCCACCTTCTCCCGTCCTGCCCTGCCCGTTGGAAGGAGTTAGCAGAAGCCTGACCCTGTGCGATGGTTGACAGATATTAAACCGTGCAAAAGTGTCTTTAAATAAGAAGCCCTTATTTATCCTGAGACCTCAGTTATTGACGCCGTGTAATTATAATTTATTTTGATTCTTTAAATTGCCTCAAAGAGCTTGTTACTTGGGTGGAAATTAAGCCAAGGTGAGCAGACAGCGAATGTAGGCAGAGTGAGAGGTACTTTTGTATTAGCCATTTTCCCCATGTGCATGTAGATTTTGGTTTTGTGTTTGTTTCTCAGAGCTCCAGAACGGGTCTCTCTCTCTCTCTCTCTGTTATACAGTCGACAATCATTTGTAATAAATTATCTCATTTCATGTACATTTGATATTTAAATACAGATGTTGGCATTGCTCACATCTAGCTCAAAGATGATGATGTGTGTGTGTGTGTAGTTTTATTTTTTGAAGGATTTTAGTTATGATCAGCTGTAATCAAAATTGGCACCAGGTACTGGGGGAGGCGTATTCAACTGTCAACCAGGTTGTAAGTTTAAGTTGGTGAAATCCCACACAGGTCTCTGTTTGTGGTGTCCAATCTCCACTGCATGTCTGACACACATGGAAACCCATCACAGTGATCAGCCGGGTGTCTGGCACGCAGGGAAACTCATCACCATGATCAGCTGGGCGTCTAATACATGTGGAAAACCATCACCGTAATCAGTCGGGTGTCTGACATGTGGAAAACCATTACCATACTTAAGAGTTTCTAAACCAGACTGAGAGTTCCACATATATTTGTTACCTACACATGGAAATTTCCCCATGTCTGGAATGAATGAGCACACCTGTAAAGACACACCTTGCTTACTTAATTCCTAAGAGTATTAGGCAGTGTGTTTTGGGAGGGAGGGTGTGTGTTTGGACTAATGGGAGTGAGAAAGGGAATCTGTTTTGGGAGGGAGAAGGAGGGAGTGTGTTTTGAGAGTGAGAGTGGGGGAGTGTGGGGAGTGAGGCAGTGAGTGTTTGGGGAGTGAAAGTGAGGGAGTGTGTTTGAGGAGTGGGGGCGGGTAGATAGTATGTTTGGGGAGTGAGGGAGCACGTTTGGGGGGGTGAGAGTGAGGCAGTGAGTGTGTTTGGGTAGTGAGAGTGAGGCAGTGAGTGTGTTTGGGGAGTGAGAGTGAGGCAGTGAGTGCGTTTGGGGAGTGTGTTTGGGTAGTGAGAGTGAGGCAGTGAGTGTGTTTGGGGGTGAGAGTGAGGCAGTGAGTGCGTTTGGGGAGTGTGTTTGGGTAGTGAGAGTGAGGCAGTGAGTGTGTTTGGGGGGTGAGAGTGAGGCAGTGAGTGCGTTTGGGGAGTGTGTTTGGGTAGTGAGAGTGAGGCAGTGAGTGTGTTTGGGTGGTGAGAGTGAGGCAGTGAGTGCGTTTGGGGAGTGTGTTTGGGTAGTGAGAGTGAGTCAGTGAGTGTGTTTGGGTAGTGAGAGTGAGGCAGTGAGTGTGTTTGGGGGGTGAGAGTGAGGCAGTGAGTGCGTTTGGGGAGTGTGTTTGGGTAGTGAGAGTGAGGCAGTGAGTGTGTTTGGGTAGTGAGAGTGAGGCAGTGAGTGTGTTTGGGGGGTGAGAGTGAGGCAGTGAGTGTGTTTGGGGGGTGAGAGTGAGGCAGTGAGTGCGTTTGGGGAGTGAGAGTTGAAAGGAGTGTGTTTGGGGAGTGGGAGGGAGGGGAAGAAGTGTGTTTTGGTGAGGGATGGAGGGAAGGAGTGTGTGAGTGTGTGTGTGTGTGTTGGGGAGTGAGTGGGAGATGGTTTGGGGAGTGAGAGGGTTGGTGCTGAGTGGTTGTCAGGATTTTCCGCAGCCAAACCGCTGACAAACAGGTGAGCCCAGGGCTGAGCTCGGGGTCGGGCCGTCTCGGATTAGGATGAAATAAACTGGTCCAGACTCCGGGCACGGACCCCGCTTTCCACTGGGAGCCGCTAACCACCACCATCGCAGTGAGTCCACGTTCCTTAATCCCTATCATCTCCAATGCATTAACCGCTTTTGCGTCCTGTCCCCCGCACGTAAAATACCCCTCTGTCTCTCTCTCTCTCTGTGTGTCTCTTTATCTCCGTTTCTCTCTCCATCTCCTTCTCTCTCTCTCTCTCTCTCTCTCAATCTCTGTCTCTCCAACTCTGTCTTTCTCTCTTTCTCAGTGTCTTCTCTCAGTGTCTCTCTCTCTCTCTCTCTCTGTCTGTCTGTCTGTCAAAAGAAAATCTGTTTTCTCTTTCTCTCTCTCTCATCTCTCTCCCTCTTTCTTTTTCTCTCTCTCTTTCTTTCTCTGTCTCTCACTTTTTCTGCAAATGTGATCCACAAAATCACAGCAAGTGCTCATTCTGCGCAGTTTAAAACAAGATAATTCAAAGTGTTAGAAATACAATGTGTGTGTGTGTGTTGGGGAGCGTTTAAGGCTGACCTATACATTATATATATATGTATATGCCAATTGATTTATTTTTTACACCCACAAAGCAAAATAAGAAAAAAATGCACCCGTTTGATGGAAACGGTGGTGGGAGGAGGTGCAGAGCTCCAGAAATCCCACTATAATTTTTTCTCTGTCCCTCTGTCTCAGTCTACCCCTCCTCCTCTCTCTATCTGTCTATAGAAAATAATAATAATTTGGTCACTCAATCCACGACTGTTTGAGGGACTCTGCTGTGCGCAATTGGCTGCCGCATTTCGCCCACAAAATATACGGTCAATTCACTTTATAGTATATTCCGTGAAGCGCTTTTAGTCATCTAGAAGATATGAAAAGCGCTATATCAAATGCAAGGATTATTATCATTATCTATATCTATATGCTCCGTCCTGATGAAATCATCCGCAGACATGGAGTCAACTTCCACATGTATGCAGATGTCACTCAACTCTATCTCTCTGCCTCCACCTACAACTCCAGCGCCACTGCTGTCCTGACAGAATGTCTGTCAAACATCAAGTCCTGGATGAGAGCTAACTGTCTATCGTTGAACGTCAACAAGACCGAAGCCCTAGTGATTGGCTCCTGTCTGCGCCTCCACATGTCATTGAGCCGGTCTGGAACCTTGGCGTCTTGTTTGACCCTCAACTATCCTTTCTACCCCACATCCGTCCTCCACTTTCCCCCACCTCCGCAACGTCGCCCGGCTCCGCCAGTGTCTCATACCTCAGGCCATCGATACCCTCATACACCCATTCATAACATCCAGGCTTCATTATTCAAACTCCCCGTTTGTCGGCTTCTCCAACTCCTCTCTGCATAACTCATCCAAACTCTGCAGCCCATGCCCTCTCCCGCACCAGGCTCTATGACCCTATCAGCCCCCATCCTCAACTGACTCCACTGGTTTCCCAACACACAGATACAGTTCAAGATCCTAGTCCTCACTTTCAAAGCCCTCCATGGCCTTGCTCCCTCTACCTCAGCAACATCCTAACCCCCTACCAACCTGCCCGATCCCTCCACTCAGCAGACTGCGGCCTGCTTCACGTCCCCCACCTCGCCTACCCAACCATTGGTCTGGCCTTCATCCACTCTACCCCCACCCTCTGGAACTCCATCTCGCAGTCCTTCTGCCTCGCCCCCTCCCTTGCCTCCTTCAAGACCCATCTCAAGACCTTCCTCTTTGACCGTGTCTTCGATCACCCTTCTTACATTCACTGCTCTACTCGATCCCGACCCCCAGCTCTGGTTCGAAACACTGATTGTCCAGCGCCTTGGGATGTCCTCCCGATGTGAACGACTCTATACAAATGTAATTTTATTTTCTGATGGATTGTTGTCGGTCTCTCTCTCTCTTTCTTTTTCTCTCTCTCCTTCTTTCTCTCTCTCTTTCTTTCTTTCTTTCTTTCTTTCTTTCTGTCTCTCTCTTTCTCTCTCTCTTTCTTTCTGTCTCTCTGTCTATCTCTATCTCAGTCTCTATCTCGGTCTCTTTATTTCTCTTTTTCTCTCACTGTCTTATTCTCTCTCTCTCTGTCTCTTTCTAAGTCTCTCTCTATCTCAGTCTCTGTCTCACAGTCTCTTTCTCTCTCTCACTCTCGATTTCTCTCTGTCTCTTTCTCTCTGTCTCTCGCTCTTTCTAGAAAGTGCTGGTAACAGATGGAGTGGTTATGGAGAGAGAAAGAGACACAGATTACACTGTGCTAAATTGGTGGAATAACACCCTCGCAAATGTGTCAAAAGGAAGTTTTTTTATACAAAAAAAATGCAATCGTGTCGGAAGTCCAAATTCCTTCTTTCGAAGTATTTTATTCCTCCCCCCCTGAAGTGTTTGGTCGGCAAGTCAGGAGAGATCTTATTTCCAGAGATTATTTTGAAAATGTGGCTGTTTCTTGTTTAACAGATATATTTAAGCTTTCACCTCTTTTTTCACACACACCAGAACATTCACCTATCCCTTCCGTTTTAATTTGTAAATAATCTTCAATACCCCTTTATTCCCCGCCGTATTACTCCCAGGAATATTCTTGTTAACATATGAATATCGATATATTATCTGTGATCAATTAATACCAGTCTTATTTACAGTGATATGATTGGTATTATTGACAGTAATTGGGTATAGTATTCCAGTATAACAGTGTCATTCCTTTGATATCAGTCTTATTCACAGTGTTCTTGTTCACAATAATATTATTAATCAAAGTTTTGTTAGTAGTACATCAATATTGACAGTAATAATTATTGGTAATAATACTATTCAAAGTAATGCTATCAGAATAATCCACAGCGATATTCAGTGTTTACAGAAATAATATTAGTATCATTTGCAATGTTAGTAACACTTGGTAATTTTACATTCACAGTAATAATATCATTAGCATTGTTCACAATTAGTTTT